GCGGAAGCCAAACATCCAGTAGCAATCACATCCTACGATTCAATTTCTTCCGCATCTTCAGCAAGATAGAACCGCTCAACAACCTTGCACAAAACAAAGTCTTGTAGACATTCCCTACAGATCAATAATTCCCAAGGAATCGTCAACGCGCGCTCGACTTCGATTATACTATCATGATGATGCGAATCACGCGCGTCCACCCCACACCACGAGAAGTAGCGATCCCTCAGCCTGCTTGATGGGCTCTCAACCTCCTACAGAAGTGACCTTAGCGTGTCGAATTCTCAACGGCCCAAAGGAATCCTGAAGAAACCGAAGGAAAGAATGTTCCGATGACTACCCTTCCCCAACCCGACTTACGAAGAATCCACAATTCCGAAGCAGACACAGGCAAATTCAGAGATTAAATAATAACACACTCAGCAAGGAACGAAGCACTACTGTAAGGCTCACTCCGGTACAATCGGTATTTATACTCGAGCTGATCCCAACTGCGCCATTACGCCACGTCACCATAGCGTCACTCTCCGTTCACTTCGAAAGGCAGAGCATGTCCCTTACAACTTGCGACGTAAAGCTCAGAGGGTCTGGCCCCAGTTCTTTGTTCCCCCATGAGGGCCTGGAATTTTCGAAGTCTACACATCCTTCCTCCTCCTTTCGCCTCTCCCCGGTGTGCCCGGCCGTGACCCGAACATGGGCTGTGGATGGAACGAGAATGATCCATGACGCGAATGCTTGCAACAGGGAAGTCCAGAAACGCATTTTGGGCACATATCTTTCAACGTCATCTTCTGAAGTAATTTCTCCTTCCCTTCTTGACTCAATAACACGCAGTTGAGCGGAAGCAGAAATGTGATACTCCAACTGTCAAGAGAGGCTGTTCGTTATTGATTAAAATATGGATTCGAAAGTACTGTACAAAACGTGATGTCCCAGCTGCAATCAGTACGTTATACGCTTAAGTACTTATACGCTTGAACGATTTCCTTGAGGATGAATCCTCCCGGAGCGGCTTAAATTACAGGGCAAATTAAATGAATATGGCTCCACTTCCAAGGGGAACACATTCCGTTAAGCACACCCACGCCCAGCTCAGAGGAGTCGAGTTATGTGCTAACCTCATGTGAAGGAGGGGAATGGTTCGCCCCTACACATCCTGTATCAACAATGCATTCTAATTCAGGACCTGTTGATGCTCATGAGTTAAAAATTTAATGCTTGTCCACAAGAAAACAAGAGGCAGCAAAGCGTTTTGGGGGTGCCCATTGTTCTGTGGTTTTGAGGCATAGAAAATTAAAATGTTCCTGATCTGCAGACTATCTGGAACATCGTGTGGATTGTAAGCATCCATGGAACGCATCCCCTACAAGACGCGTTTACCCCTTGCGTTGCCTTAAAAATGAAATTCGAGGAGCACATATGTAGTAAATAAGTCATTGACGAATATCATTCTCCCTTATTTCGGTAAACTGCAACTGGAACTTCAAAAATGATGGAAGTTTTTCAGTAGTTATTCCACAACCAGCGTTCACGTGTCCTAGAGAAGAGTTCAAGACTACCCACGAAGTTTGTTCCTTCCCCCACCACTTGCGACATGAACGTCGGGTGGATGACGCGCACTGTGAATCATTCCCTTCCTCCGAAACATGCTGAGCGAATTGATTATTCCTCCCTCTCAGTGCACCCCAACTGTTCCCCAAAGCCGTGGACCAGAACGTTCCACAAAATGGTGGAAAGCTATGCGTGAGAACCAGGGGAAAAGGACAGGGGAGCTTCGCTTGGAAAGAGGCTTCGCTTGGAAAGAGCTAAGAAATGGGCGAACATCAACGTCGCAGTATTCTACATTGGAAAATACTGTAGATCTGGAAGTTTCCAACGATTTCAAGGATGCACTGGTTCAAAAATATCAAGATTTAAATTTTTGGGATACACTGTAATATTGTAATTAGGGGAGAAGACAATTTTGAGTCGAGTCCATGGTTAGTTCCGTTCCACTGCAGGTTGGTGCTTGAATCTTCTTGGTAATGAATGAATCATACACGCAGATCACCTCAGGCACGGTTGAAAGCAGGTTCTTCCATTGAACTCATTCGAATCATGAAAGGAAATGCGAAATTTTAAGCTCTGATACTGTCATATCTTTTGTTCCACAGTTCTTGGTCAATTTAATTTTTCCTTTTACCAGGGTGTCCACAACTGTGGATATTTAGATAGATGCATATCTTTCAGATGCATATCCCCTCTTAGTCTTTTGTCACACAGTTCTTGGTCAATTCGAATTCTTTTTCATCAGAGATGAGTGCGATTCCCGAAACTATCGATATTTAGATAGATTCTTACATTGTTTTTCAGAGTATATCATATATTGTGTTTGATATATACACACTCTTATCAGCACAGCTACATACATAGTATACCAGAATTTCTCCTAGATTCCCCTGAATCATCCTGCACGCATTGGATAAATCTCAATATTCGGCCGAGAATGAATCTCCGAAACGTCTTTACCATTGGTTTAAAAGCTATACTGTATACTACATACCGACAATAACCTGGGCTTCGTCTGATTTCCGCATAGAAGACACAGCATATTCTAACACACGTATCCAAAGAAAGAAAATCGAATTTGCCTGGTTAAAAGCTTTTGTCTGTCATTAATGATAGTACAGTATATAGAACTTCATACCTGATTTACATGGATTCTTGTGCATATCAGTATATAATATTTTTTAGCTTCATTCTAATTATAATTAATACGCGTGAAAAAGCGATTCATCTATAGAGCTTTGGAATAATGAAGCCTTTTCAAATACAAAAAAAAAAAATCAACCAGCCAAAGACAATCAAATGTGCTGTGGAAATTTGGCTGCTGCATGCATGCTGCCAGCATTCGGTAACCGATATGTATGAAAGTTATTCCTCATCTAATTTCATGATTCCGCCGGATTTTTTCTTCTTTAATGTAGTTTCCAGCAACGGTCTTCTGTAAAATATACAACGTACTTCACATCAATAGGTAGAAAATCTTTTCCAAGTTCTATATATAGCTGATGCTGAACCATGCACAAGAGGGCAGCATGCTGTATTACAGGATTTCAGTAATACTTGAAAATATCGTACTTACACTTATATATACAGTATTGTACTGTATAATTGTCATATATCATTATCATGAGGCCAGCATAGGCTTATATGCAATATAGTAAGAACAAACAAAAAGTTTTGAAGAGTTGATTAAGAGAAAATAACTCGCCAATGCTGGGTACGTACTAAACTGATGATATAAAATACCAATACAACTGTACAGTAAAATATATTTCTCGGGACAAGCAGCAGTTTCACGTGGAGGATGGTGAAACTTTTCCATGATGCCTTGGTCATAAATTCTCAAGTAGTATTCCAGGCAGGCATGAATACGAAATGATTCAATGGGTCTGCATGTTTATTCACCGCATGATGGAAGGATACGGTTATGCTGTATAGCAGGGAATCCAATAACGTTGGTAAACATAGGGCATCTTCACTCAACAGGTATTGCACTCCAATTCTTCTTATAAACCGCTGTGTTACCTCTCACCTGAATCATTGACAGTGTCGAAATTGCGCTTCAAAAGCATGGAAGCGAAGTTCTCATAGGAAGGTCTCAGCAGAATCCACTGGGTTAGGGGAGACATCTACGTCTACAAACAGCACGTCAAGCGCTTCCTGAACTCGCAGAATCGCCCGAAAAACGCGCACTTCGTCTGTAAGAAACGGGCAGCATGACCAAAATCAGCGCACAAGCTATACAGGACTTGAAACTTCTGGAATTTAACAACAGATGTACTATTTAAACAGGATGGAAATCATACCGACATTTTATCTTACAATTATACATCAGCCGGCGCCTGCAATGCCATATCCAAGATACAATAATAATCGCACATCGTCCGTGGCTATTATCTATGAATAATACTGTATACGGATAGTATGATGGCCTTTTTTGACAGCAGAAAGCCATATAAACATTAAAAAATTTAAATTGAAGGAAAATCTGAAAATCCGGTCATAGGATTGACAGTGGTGCACGCGTCGAAATTCGATCCGTTCTATTGTACAGTATTGCATGTACAGTACAGTACTGTATTAATACATATTGCAGGCATACTGTATGTATGGCCAGTATTTCACCATCATCATTATTCATGATTTTCAATGATGAGCTTCGAAACACACCCAAATAGTGGAATAATCCCTTCATGATATATTCTACCAAACCGTTTGCTGATGTTTATTTTCAAATAAGAGGCAGCGTTTATATGACGATGCATATCATTCGCACAAGGAATATCAACATAATTACATACTAGACTACTATAGAGAATGATTCGAAGATGTATCAGGAAGTATACACATCCGAAATTGATCGAAGACGTTTCATGGAGCATTACATGGAGAGAAATATAGTCATTTTTTTACCCTTTCAAGAGAGGGAGGGGTTAAAATTAAAATTACACCGTAACTCACGCTGCTTCATTTTCTTCTGGATTAATATAAATAAATAAAAATAACCTCAGACAGCACGCTCATTAACGCGCACATATGGTACTCAATGTAATCCGGATGGGTTCTGTACAAAAATAAAGCATTGTTCCAGAAAGCTTCTCTGTCTATTATCATTAAAAAATTGCGAAGTTCGCATACCGCCCAATGCCAGAACCAGACATTATTGTGTCGCTCGCTTTCATCAGCCATGCTATCTGTATTTATTCCGCGTAGATCCTCTTCAGTCCATCATATTCAACTGCGGATTACAGCTCGACTTCTGCGGTGGGTGGCGAATCATGCGACGGAAGATTCATTTGGATCATCAGGAAGCGCGCGGTTGCAACGCTTCATTTCGAGAAACCGGAAGTAAATTGGCATGAAGGGTTATTCAATAAATACGTCTAGAATTCACAAAAACGAATTAAAATTCCTGTCTGCGCACAATTTTAGGTCTTCAAGGAAAACGAACGCAATATTTCCCAGGAAATATGTATTTCAGAATCAGGCATTCGAGTCTTTCAACAGCTGTGATCCAAACAGGAACCATGCTGAACATTTCACAGAGAAGGCCAATTGCACATTTTCGCGGTACACGGGAGAAGATTATTCAATGCTCAAAAATTTAGACCAAGCACAGCTGGCGGGTTTCTTGTTTCTTCGAAGTCCGGAAAGATGGGGCTTACTTAGCACCAGTCGTCTCTTCAAGACCCGACGCTTTCGCTACGTTCATCATCACATGGTTCACTTGTCTTTGGCGAACATGTGGTTGATTAAATCAACCACTCGGCATGAATAGCCGAACTCGTTGTCGTACCTGAAAAAAAAGTCAAATGCACTTATTTAAATGTTACACGGTTGACGAAAACTCAATTGAGTTTCCGAAAATTACTGCACTTGAGATAAACAATGTTCCGCTTAACACTAGAATTGTGGACAATACGCTTTAATAAACTATACATTGTTCGGGGAAAACACTCAAATTGTTTTCTGAACCAATGATGAATTGCGCGGATTAGGCTCGAAATTTGGTCTGGGATACAACGGAAGGATAAGATACAGGTGGACTTTCTTTACAACAAAATACAGGGCCAACAGGGGACCAGGAAGAAAACCTCGACACAAGAAAGTTACAGAAGCCCATGGGGGAAAATCGCTGTAGAGAACGAGTATACCTGCCCTATGCTTAATACATCGTCCAATCAACTGGTAATGCATTTAAAACAGCATCTGAACTCATCGAGAGAAAAAAAACTGACATACAAGGAAAACGTTGAAAATCAGTACAGTATTAACTCGTGAAATTATGTTTCATATGGCCATGGTGATCATACCAATGCTGTTAAAACCAAAAAATCAGATAAAGAGAGTATTAATCCAAAGAAATTCACTTGCACATACAGTACACTTTAACCAATATCCACTTTCCCCGAGAATTTCTTTCTTTCCACCTAGTGAACTAAACCTTGTTAGCCAGCTGAACGTACCAGGAAATAAGCTTGACAAAATTTTTGTTCAATTGAATCCCAGCCTTCGCATCGAAGATGGACGAGTGTGTGTCTCCCACGAAGTCGGCAGAGACGACGTCATCTTCAGTGTATCCCAGGATTCCCTTCAGCGGACCTTCGGACTGAGCCTTAAGCACTGCTTTGATGTCATCGTAAGTGCAATCCTTGCCCAGGCGACACGTGAGGTCAACCACCGACACATCGTGGGTCGGCACGCGGAATGCCATTCCAGTGAGTTTACCATTCAAGGATGGAATGACCTTTCCAACAGCCTTGGCAGCACCAGTGCTTGCAGGGATGATGTTCTGCGCGGCTCCACGGCCATCGCGCCACGTCTGAAAAAGAAGCGAACACGTTTGAATTTTCACACAAGACTAACAAAGCTGTATGCTCAGTCAGAAGACTGAAATGGCGCGTCGGAAAAATAGAATGCAGCTATGCCATACAAAAATAATCATCCAATTTACAGATCTACAAATTTACAAAATATACAAGGCTTCAACCGAAAATCAAAAGAGCACTTGTCATAGAGTTCGATAAGAAAAGAAGAGGAATCAATATTCTCGCCCCACAGATGAATTTGAAGCATGCTCGTCTAAGAGGCGATTAATTGAGACTGCGCATTCTCGTAAGATTAGCCTTATAATACACCAGCCAAATTTGACGGCGCGTAAGAACATCACTGGAATGATGTTCGCCTCCAGATATCAACTACAAAGAAATGGCAGTGCTTCACGAACTCACTAAGCGTACACATATATTACCTTTCCACAAGGTCCATCAACAGTTTTCTGCGTGGCAGTGATGGAATGCACAGTGGTCATAAGCGCCTCGACGATTTCGAAGTTATCGTGAACGACCTTTGCCAGGGGAGCAAGACAGTTGGTGGTGCACGATGCGTTGGAGACAACGTTGTTCTTAGGGTCATACGAGTCATGGTTGACACCCATCACGTACATGGGGGCATCAGCCGAAGGAGCAGAAATAATGACTTTCTTCGCACCTCCCTTAAAATGTAATCCGGCTTTCTCAATAGTCGTGAAAACACCCGTGGACTCAACGACGTATGTGGCGTTGACAGAGGCCCATGGGATATTTGCGGGATCACGCTCGCCGAAAACTTTAATTTTCTTACCTGCGATAAAAAGTTATCAAAATGATACTATCGATGCTTCAGAAATCTTTCGGTAAATTTACAACGCATCTTATCACATACATCTCAGTAAAAATACTGTATCTCGAATAAACGACTTTTTTTTTATCAAAATTTCGGTCAATTACATTTGGGAGCGTAATCCGTTCGGAAGTGCAAGGTTACGTTTACCTATACGATTTTTTAAAATTCATGAAGCATAAAATTCGATGAAACAAACTCATTGCCTTCACCTCTGTTAGTTACGTTCAATTTTACTGTCTGGATCCTAGAGAAAGCGCCGAGCCCCAGGAATCATAATAAAAAATCACAATACAAATCTCTAGGAATCATAATAGAAAATCAAGATTTTAGGAGTACTCCGAACAGCGGATCCAACTTGAGTAATGCGTTAAAATCGGTTGAAAATGAGTCGATGTTGGATACAGACGCTTTTACGACTTTTCTTCATCAAATTGTTTGGACTACCGGAGAGAATCATAATACAGTACAGGAATAAATGAAGAACGAACGGTACTGCACGTCGTAAATATCAGCCCTAATTTAATTTTCGTGCGAAACCTGTCTCACTGCATGGACATAGAAATTATATTATATTAATTATGTGAGACCCACGATGAGTTAAACCCAGCGCAACACTCTAACCAGCAGTCTAACGCTTCAATAAATACTTTAGTTTGTATCCGTACCATCGACAACAAGATCGGCTCCATCCTTGTGTACCTCACCCTTGTAACGTCCGTGAGTGGAATCATACTTAAACATGTAAACCATGTAATCCACATCAATAAATGGATCATTCACGGCAACCAACTGTAAACAGTAAAAACAGCAAATATCAAATCATGTTTCACTCGATCCACATCATCAACTAACCTCAACTCCTTTGGACAAAGCAGCACGAAGCACCAAACGGCCAATACGACCGAATCCGTTGATTCCAACCTTCGCCATTATTGAGAGACTAACACGATCAATTTCACAGATGAAACAAACGATTGCTTTTCGACCGGAGTGTAGCAGGAGGCTCAACTGAAATTGCAGAGATCTGAACACAACCGAATGGGACCAGACTTCTTATACCGCGTAGGAATACTGAACTGTTTTCAAAGCGAGGGACTGTTCGTCACGTTCGCGTGACTTCCCAGTGAGAATTGGCGAAAAGCCACCTTTCTGCAACACATGTGGCACCGAAATAAAAAAAATTCCTTCTGTATTGGGGATACGTGATCTCACTGATCACGTATCTCGGAACTGATAATCCAGGAATGACTTCGAGAATTTCAACTTGAGTTCATCTCTGAACCACGTAGGGATTCAACGGAAAGCACGAAAACTATACTGTTCAAGTATATGGCGAAAATGTAGTCGTATCTCCAACGACAAGCATTTTAAAATGATACACTCATTATTAAATTAGTTGAAAATTCTCAGTCTGACAGACATTGAACACGCGGATTTCCGACTCCATGGATTAAAAAATTACTCGCGAATTTTCTTCAGTATTCAATTTGAATTGAGAATAAGTCTACTTGTGAAACGACGATTTCCAGGAACTCGATTTTATATGGTGGACGAGGGGGTTAAACAATTTTAAAAAGGTGATGTAGCCCCCATCACGGTACGACGTAATGAAAAACGAAAATTGAGAGCAACCTGACTCATCCACGAACTAAAAATAACTTGAATACGAATATCGAATCAGTTTGAAGAAGAAACAAATTGCAGCACTTGAATTTTCAACATTTTTCTTCGAATTGATGGTCTAAACGCTATCAACGCATTGATAAGTCGGCGGTTTCACTGGTTCAAATAAGTGCCCATATGTATAATACTGCACTCCACACCCCAGAATAGTCCGCGGCGTGATCGATTGCAAGAAAAAAAAAACTATTTTTCAGTAGTAAAAAGCTAAAATTTGAAGAAGTACGCCTCGTACAAGGGGGAAGATGGTATTTCGTGCAACACAAAACCTAGCGCAAATTTTTGAGCTTGAAATCTTGCACTGTCAGCAACACACACATAAGCAACACACATAGAACGGTATAAGGGAAGTCCATCACGGATTATCAATGATCAATTTTACATGCTAAGTGGTTACAAATGAAACTCAAACATTTCCCTTCAAAATCTCTTCATTCACCGCGCGCGGCAAAATACAAGTCAGCTGGTACTACTTTTCAAAAGCGGTAAAAAGAAATCAATTCAATGTCGTCACACTACCTCTCACTTCAAAGAAACACTGATGATCGCAATATCGTCGTGCGGTTTGTCCGTCTTATTAACCTTGGCGTGCGATATATTTTGCACCACCTCCATCCCGCGAACAACACGTCCGAAAACTGTGTGCTTGTTATCGAGCCAGGGTGTGGGGCAAACAGTTATGAAGAACTGACTCCCGTTCGAGTTGGGCCCCGCGTTCGCCATGGACACGGTATAAGGTCGGTCGTGACGGAGATTCGGATGAAACTCGTCCTTGAATTCGCCGCCCCAGATGCTTTCGCCGCCCATTCCGGTGCCAGTGGGATCCCCGGTCTGGATCATAAAGCCCTTGATGACGCGATGGAAGATGTGACCGTTGTAGTAGCCCGACTTGCTGTGCACGCAGAAGTTTTCCGCTGTCTTGGGGGTCTCTTTGATGAAAAGCTTGATGTGGACGTCACCCAATGTAGTGTGCAAGATGGCGTTCTCGTACAGCTAAAAAAAAAGGAAGAAAATGACGGTTACGACTATGGCGAACTCAAACTATTGCGAAGGATGAAAACAGAAGAATACAAAAACCATCGGATCAATCGAGAACTCAATTACTTTCCTGGTTCTCCGACGTTCCAGAAACCCCAACATTTAAAAATGAATTCAGGTTTTCCCCAGATAAGCAAAAAACCGTGTCACACAACCCTTGCTCTCGTGCATCTTGAAATGCTAAAAGCTGACCATTCCTCGATTTAAAAAAAAAAACTTCAATTACAAGAGAACTGAAGACAAGAAGTGCTTCATCGGGTTGAGGGTCACGAACAGGAAGATTTCCTGATACAAATGCTGATTTGGGGGAATTGCATAAATATGCGAATGAAGGCCCCCCTAGCTCAATAAATTTCAGTCTAGTCCAATAAATATTTCATCATGTGGGATGCGCAAACGTTCAATTTCTGGATTTTGCGGAAAAAAGGCACGCGATTAAATGTGTCCAATGAACAGGATAAAGAATGATCTGAAAAACAATTCTGTTGTTCATTAGGACACGAATAATTTATACACTGCATCAAGAAAAAAGCAATTGATCGTTACCTGGGAGATTAATCAGGCGTGATCAACATGTCACCAATGTCCAAAAAAATTTCAAGTTTAGTATTTGGACTAAAAAATCAGGAAAATTCTGCCGATTTTGCTTGGTCAGCGGGGAATGTAAACGATACTCGGGGGAAAAATTTTTAGATCTTCGAGTGCTCTCAAAATTAAGAGAATGTTACGTAAAGAAAGAAACCCAAAGTTTACCTTATGATGACCGAGGTCGTCAGTCGCCGCAACGATGTCTTCTTTGGACGGCTTCTCGTTGAACACGTCCCGTTCGTCCCCTGGTCCGCGACGTGAAAACAAGTAAAAGCGGTTCTTTTTGAAAGCTGTGCAGATGATCGTTGGATCAGGTTCTATCGCTTCCAAAGTTGGGTTATCCGAAGCATGCAACTCGATTGAAATCGGTCCACCACCGACTCCACTCGTTCCTGGTCCACGGACATCAAACGCTCCTCCAGGTTTTCCCTGTTCAAAAATTCCAGACATCAAAATAAATTAATCATAAAAAAGTAATCGTTCGGCCAGCATGCATTATGACCATTTACCCACACCTGGAATACGACGGTTCGGCTCATCAAGTTCGAATAATTTTTTTCAAGGACGAACTTCCTTTTCGATTTGTTATACAGTAAACAGTTAAGAGTCATTAGTTGAGAAGGAACTTTTTCTAAACGTACTGGACTAGGCATCAAATAGACAGAAAGAAGACTAATCGTCCTTGGAAAAATTAAAAATTCTAAAAGGCAGACATAATTTTCAAGGAGCTAATTTTCAAAATATTCTTTACTATGTGGAGCAAATTCTTCTTTGAGCCCTATATTTCATGATACAGTACTTCTTTAAAAAAATTTCATGCAATGTTTTATTCAAGAATTACGATAACATAATCGGGGAATTTCCAATTGATCTGTAATACGTAAATCATTTATTGCATTGCTAATCAAGAGGATCTTTCCGGAACCAATTCCTTATTCGGTATGACTTCCCATTCGAACAAAATAAGCACTTTCACGGAGGCAAGACTGCTGGTGAAATAGGCTACCATGATGTCCAGAATGGGAGGTATTCATAGAATAACTTGAAGCAAAACGCATCTTGAAGTACAAGCCACACACGTTTGGTAGATCCCGTGAATATTAATACCTTGGAAGTTTAATCAAGCGCACGACAGATTGCGCCAATTCCAAGGAGCAATTTTTTTTACAGCCAAGTAAACCTCTTCAATTTTAGAATTAAAAATCATAACAAAATTATCAGTTCACAACGTCCAATTCACCTCATAGTTAATCTTGTGGAGAACAAACGTAGTCAAAGAAGGCCTCTGTAACTTTCGGAGAAAAGCAATAGAGCCCTTAGTTATGCGGTAAAGTTCATTAGATCGACAAATTCCGCAATAGTGACACATGGAATATTTCACAAACGACTTGAGACAACACAGCAGCGTAAAATATCCAAAAGTTACCTGAAAGATTGCGAGGCACAAAAAACGAATATTTTCGGCCTTCCCTAACCATCTGACGCAGTTGTTGGTCACAGTGTTGACAACTTTGATGCCGAGAGGCGTAGCGTAGATCAAAAAATTCCCCGTCTCGTCAAACAGAACATTCGACCAACACGTCGCAATTTCAGATTTTTCCAGTTCTCTTTCAATAGCCATCCGACGCCCGAATTCAATGTTCGGAACGAGCTGTTTGGCTTGTTGCATCTCCGTCACAGTGGCGAAAGATTCGTCATATACTTTCATCAATTTTCCAGTGACAACACGAAATAATCGCAATTTCCTATCCGACGACCAAACTGCGAATCTCGTCCAGTCCGGGGAGAAAGTCATGGACCTCGGAACTGCCTTAACTTTCGCCAGGTCAAACAAGTCCGTGTCAAGTTTGGAATCGAAGTCCAGAAGACGCTCCGGGAAAATACAGTCGTGTTTAGGACTCGCCCAATATTCGAACACTCCAGCAGTGTCGCCGGAAATGACAAGCTCCAGCCCGACGTTGTACTTCATTACCCGCACTGGCTTCGTGTGCAACGTGGCAAGAATTTTAAGCGGAGTCTCGGATCCACGCGCGTCAAAAATGTGTATTGCAGGAGAATCCGCGTCTGACACTGCTACCGCGGAGATCGGATCTCCCGAGGAATGCACGAATTCGCAACACAAGGGCACGAAATCCAGTTTAATCATGTTGATCATATCAAAGTTGACAACATCGAAGATCTTGAGGGTCTTCTCGTTGGACGCAGAGCAGAGTAAAGAACCCGTCGAGTTGGTGGCGATGCTTTGAATGTTACCGAGATGGGCGCGGAAATGCTTGACGAATTCTATGCCGACGTCGATTTTCTTCCAGAACTTGATGTGGCCGTCGATGGACGCGGTGATGATGAACTTGGTGTGAGTAACAAGCACGTGGGTGATGACGTCTCGATGCATGAAACTCTTTTCGTACATCTCGCCGTCTGGCAAAGCATGGAGGTAGGTTTTCTCAAGAGGAAGTACACGTCTCCTTCGTTTCTTCTCCGGGGCGGGTTGGGGTCCGATTTCACCCTCCGAGTCGGTCTCGGAATGTTCTTGCATCTCCGGAGGGATTTCCGGTTCTTCAATTTTTTTCCGCTTCGGTGCAGCGTTTTCTTCTCCACTGGGAGGCTTCATCATTTTACGGTCAACAACAAATCACACGCGATTCACTTGCTTCTTCACTCTAAAAACGATCAAGCAGAAAGTTCACTGCTTAAGAGCACTTCCACACGCAGATTCCCAAGTTTCCACCAAAAAACAGATACAGCATATTCTTGCTTTCGAACGAGATGTCAAACCCAAAACCTTCTCCTACGACGACGTGCCAAGAAGATCCGTATTTCCTATCCATTTCTTCTTTTACCATTCGAGCAGCATTCTGAGACGGCAACGAAATAAAATTATTCTTCTATGGTGAAAAACAAATTTTCTGATACAAACCTCATTGTTTGAAGAATGTTTCTCGCAAGCAGTCACGATCAACTCGACGGTCTCCGCTTTCATATCATCGCTCATATCACTTTGCTGGCGGAGAAAAAAGAATCAAAATTACACATCCCGATGCAGCTGAAAAGAAAAAAACGAATAATACAGCCTCTAATTATAGGCACTTACTCGAATAAGTGGATAAGTATGAAGGATATTCTTTGGTCGCTCCGGCACTTCTTTTTCTTGCTCTATTTCCGCGGCGGCTGCAGAAGAACCTGTACCTCGCGCGGTACTAGGACGACTGCTCATCGCTTAACCAATTTCCCGATCCGTTTTTCGCCATGCACTCGTTCCGGTCTTTTCCTAGTATTTCCTAAAGATTCTGTAGAAAAGAGGAGAAATTTCATCAGTGCATTTTTACAAAACGAATTGTTTTCAAAAGATCTATCCCAAGGTTTTGGAAAAATACGCTTTGTTGTCTCATAAAATCCCGGCGATCAATGGACGAAAATAAAACGAGGACAGATGATCCACAGAGCTAAAAACCACGAAGTTTTGAGCAAAAGGCGGTTTCAAATTGACCCATATAGTTCCACATCACCGATCCCATAACTTTTCCAAATAACGAACTCGGGCACATGATTAACTTTGGAGTGAATCAATGAAATCGCACATTATTTTATCGTGCGGAATGCATGTTCCATTGTCAGGTGTCTTCTCGATTCTCAACTTCGCGAGGGCATGCGATTCTGGTGGCAAATTTCTCGCTTTCCCGTTTTCTAGGGCCTTCCTACTAATCGACGGAATCATTGCAAGGGTTTGCCGTAGAATATCGAGTACTCGGTCGACATGACGGTCGAAGCTCTCCGCCATGCTTGTCCGTTGCTCTCTCTGCTGCGTGAGCATGGCCTTCAGAGATTCACGAGCTTGATGCGGTCGGAATTCGTTCACAAGATGATGCATGTGCAAAAATAAAAGGGTTATTTCCTCGATTTTCTCTTTCCTTTTTGGAGCTTCCGGGCAACGTGCAAGGATGTCCAAAAGATCCAGTAAATTGACTAGAATAGAGCAATTTAGCTTCTTCAGTTCTTTCTTGTGGTCAAAGTTTTGTGGATACAATCGTTTTATATTCTGAACTTCCAAGGGTTTGACTATGGCGTCGTCTATGTTGTAAATATTGCCGAACATGCGGTATGTTTCGTCGGGGAAGGGTGGACGCGGAAGGCGGTTCTTCTTGACATTTTCTTCCGAAAATGCGCTTATATACTGCATTGGTGGAGGAGGCATGAAAGAAAGGTTGGAAAGATCTTTCTTTGGGGTCGGCATCGATGGACCGGCACATGGGAGACGAACAGCACCACGTAAAGCCAAAGGGGGACGCATCGCAGGCTGCATGGGCATATCAGGTGCTCGGAACCGACGTGCGACGCTTCCTGTCGCCCCGCGTCGACCACGAGGCCGCGCAACTCTTCCACCAGGACGAACACAGAAGGGTTCAACGCCCGCAGGCCCATTACGATCCATCATGATCGGCAAGGAATCTTGAACACAAAATTACATTAGATACCCATCTGCGGATAGACATACAGTAACCACACGTCATTGACTAATCATCAGCCACGGGGAAACCAAACCAATCGAACACAACTGAACTAAGTTTTTGACAAGGCAATCCCACTTCAACCCGCAACTGGGAAACGAGCGAACATCGTAAATTACCCCGGGGGATTCGATACCGCTGCGGTAGTATTTTTGTATGGGTGCATTCTAGGTGGGCGATTTGTACCACACACGACTTCCGACTTGCAAAAATGTCAGATGTCACAGAAAAGTTCATGTAAAAGCGCAGACAGAAACAAGATTCTTTAGAAATGTATTTATTCATCTCACGACGCACATGTAAGTCCAGATCTCAATATTCTCAAGGAAGTTCACTGCAAGCCTAAAAAACTACCATAATGCAAACTCAGCGCAGTTCAAATGAAAAATCAAATTTCCATCCTTTAAGGAGCTTCGGAGAAATTTGACTCTTCTTGATTGCTCACAGGATAATCGAGATTACAAAGAGAATTTACAGGCCAGCCATGAGATCTAGGAGCGAAATAGCACTAAGGCGAAAAATCAAAGGTTCCGAAGCACTTCTTCATTTAGAAACGAAATAAGTTTCATCCTCATTCCGCAATCTGCTGGTGAGCCTCAGTGACGAATCCATGGTTTGCGCTTGTGGTGGACGAAATCTTTGATGTGACCAGGCTCCTCTGGAGCGTATGCTGACATTCCTCCAGCTGGAATGGAACCCAAAAATAAACGTGAAAGGCATTTCAAATACAGTACTGTACAGTATACGTAGACAGCAGCAGTACGCTCGTCGTTTGCCCGAAGCGTGATTAATGTTGGTCAGGTAGATGTCGCCAAAAGCTAGGATGAAACTACAGTACAGTAAATTGTATAGTAAAAAATCCGCATCTTCCAGGTTGGAAACCAGCAGGAGGCTGTGTTCCTACCAACAGCTGAGGCCTCTTTCTAAATTTTAACCATAAAAATTGTAAAAAACGCAGTGTAAAATGTATACTTCAGGACTGAACAATTGAAAGGAAATCATACAATGCATTCATTCAAGATAGGCTATCATGTAACTATAAATAGAGATTATACATATACACAGTAGTTCCACAGTATACTCCTGCTGTACTCTGGGGATTCTGAACTATGGATATATTCATATATAGTACAGTGTATACACATACAAACCTTTTGGAAGATTTAAATTTTAAGGCATGATTGTGGGACTCGTTAAATGCCCTCTGAAAGATCACACTTCGGTGAAGTCATTTATGAATAACTGCTGTTCAGTATAATTACATTTATAATGCCGCTTGCTGGAAAATCCGAATATTGTATACTGTACTGTAGACACCTTCTTTATGACTTAAGCTGTTTCACAGTTTTATTTTAAAAATTTTCGGGCCAACTCTTCAGTCAAGCATTGAGAAATATGTTCTGTTCCTTGCACCTTTTCTACGTTCTTCGAGGTTGTACTTTTTACTCGGATGATATTATTCACCTGGCGTATTCAGGTCAACAGACGGGACTTGATCCGGTGCTTCAATAATAGGAAATGGACCCGGTCCTTTGTCTTCATCCGAATCCCCATCTTCGAAATCTTTTCCGGATTTGATCTTCCCAAAGTCGGCTCTGATATTCTGCAATTCATCGCCAACAGTGTTCTTCATGCGGGAAAATTCGGATGCGACCAGCGACAGCCTGAATAGTTGAAGAAAAAACTTGTCATGATGAATGATAATAAAATTATAACTCATGCGCAAAAGTGAAATTTAGTCACAACTCTAACCATCAAGTGACACTGAGAAAATTATACTGAAATTATTGAAACATATGCTGCTCGTTAAAAAGCTACCTAGATCGAGGCTAGAGTTTTGAGTGATTTGCGTCTCCATAAAGCCTCCCAAAAGCAGGAACCTTTATTATCTCAAGAGCTTTTATATCGAAATTTTTTTCAGATAACTTCTAAGCACGACTAAAAATTATTCAATTGTACAACTTTAAATTAATCCCATGTTATTTCAGAAGGACATTACAGTGTACCGAAATTATCATGATCATTTTGGTGTCCAATCATAAGACAATTTGTAAGCTAAGTTAACTTTTGAAATAATTTTAAAAAGTGTATTTCTCCTTAACTGATCATTTTAGGGCTATGACTCAAATTATGTTCAGTACCCATGTTTTTCAAGCGCTCTGTATAATGGATATATAATACTTCATTTTTCTAAGATGCACTTTTACCCACACACTAGCTGTTCAAAATCTGCTGAAACAAATGAGCATGGTGTCAGGCATATCGCATATGCTTGTTAAATAAGTGAGCATTCCTTGTTTGAGTTGTTCACACCTTTTTCATGCATATATAGTTAGTGCTGGTACAACATAAGCACAAAGGATCGAAGTACTGACATTGAAACAAAATCATAAATGCCTCACAAAATGATGCAGGAAAGAGTAAGATGATCAAACACACCTTCCCAACAGGTAGTTGAGATTGTCTTGGACCTCAGCCATGTGAGTCGACACTTGTCCCACTCTCGAGTTCATCTCTCCCACCTGACTGAGACTACCGTCGACATAGCTGGTGGTCTGATTCCTCACAGTCTCCAACATGGCCTGAGACGAAGTCATTTGACTGTATAAAATCCCAATCTGTCGCCACACTTGGCTAACTTCCTCTTGAATACTCGTCGTAGAATTCTTCAGCTGACCCGAGAGCTTGAACAAAAGCTGCGACTTGGCTTCGTCGATTTCCTCCAGCACTGAGGATTTAATGTCATCCGATCGGGTTTTGATGAGAGTCCCCATCTCGAAGTTGATCTTCTGAACCGCAATTTCGACACTGCGTCTGATCGACAAGATGTCATCGGCCGTCGAGAGTAAAACCTTGCTGGTTTTTCCGAGGTCTTTCACGTCATTGCTCAACTCTTTGTATCTGATGTCCAAGACAATAAAAATGAATAAGTATTGTACTGCGGACTGTCAAGATTCAACATGATGGGTCCTCGCAAAATGGAAGAATCGTGCTACAATGAATCGCTATAACGAATCATTTCCAGTAACAAGGAATTCATATTTTAGGTCCGTCCGCAATACAACCACAAATAAGTTAATTGATTTTCTTTACGCAGCAATGATTTTTTTCTCAAAGCTTTCTTCTTGACCATATATATAGCAATGGCTCTGTAATTACAACGAGATTTTATCGTAATGTAATTGTAATCTACATTTGTTTTTGTTTTGAAATGATTTAGTTTTTACAACGCAAAAATGTTAGTCACAAAAAGAATGATTTCCCCAAGCTATAATTGAAAAATGTGTACTTCATTGAAAAATCACAAAATTATTCATGAACATTTTAAAGTGTTTATTTAAGCAAGTACTTTAATTAGTATATACACTTTGAGCGCGCTTTGCATTCAAGTTTTCAACTAACATCATAAATTCACAAATTTCGGGTAAAGAAAGAGGCAACGATATCACTTTTTTTTCTTTCACGATGTTATAGCCTTTTAAAAATGTCAAAATTTTAATATCTGACTTATCGTTGTGGTCTCTGCCATTAATGCATTTTTTTCCTTTGCACATTTTGTTATGCAAGTAACGCTTTCGTCGAAAAAAGTTCAACAGTTTTTTTTTATAAAATTATTTTTCGGCATACACTTGAACAATAAATGAACTGAAAAATGATTCAGAAATGAAATAATTACACACAGCAAGGACTCACCCCTTGGTAATATTTTGTTGAAGTTCTTCCAACTGCTCAGAGACCTCCTCAGAAGAGTGTGAATCTGAGCCCGTATCGCCATTGTTTGCAGGTTTTGTGGACAGTAAAGAAATTATTTTGTTGCTGATTTCTCCTGTGCTTTCAACGCCGTACCTGTAATTGAGGCATTGCACAATATATTAATCTGGTCTGCCAAAAAAATGTCATGCATGCTGTTTAGAACTGCGTACAAACATCACCGGCAAAACAATATAATTCATTAAAAAACAGAAATATAATAAATACACGATTATTTTATTGGGGTAGAAAAAACTATGACTTGGCCTACAAATAAATTAAACCAGATATTACGACTATTCTCACGAGAACTGCCGTCATTTTTCGTAATGATTCATGGAATGGATCAGATTTTTGAACTACAGCATACGACACAATAATACTGCATATTTATTTTCTCTTGTAAGTTTACACTTCCAAACTAATTTCTGAAACTGGATATAAGATGTACGGCATATTTCAAAGGGGAGTTTTGAAGTTTGACAGAGATAGATTATGCTGATAAGAATAGCGAAATTGTGACATTAGATGATCATGTATAATGCTTTGTATTGCAGATACTGTGATAGATCAATATTAATATCAGTTTCATAATTTTTTGCTGCTGAGAAAATGCCTATTTTTCAACCTGGGGTTTTCCGCATATCAGTGAGCAGGAACTTTATTCCAATTTTTGTATGCCAATCTCATTCAAATTGTACAAAATGTGGTAAAGTTTTTGTTTTTTCGGGCTCTGAATAAGGTATCCAATCTTTCTCCAATAATAGTGTCTGTTTTTAAAATCCCTGAAGATGTTATCATATAGGTTTTGGGAAAAACCAGCAGCAGCAACAACAACAAAAACATATTAATTTACTAATTTTTTTTACCTTGTACTAAATTAACAGATTTGTTTTCAATAAATACAGTACTATATAATAAATGAGGCAAAGATATATGGTCCAGCACCTGAGCTTGTTGAGTTCCACGATGGTTTCATTGTGGGCCGGGAGTGCGGACAAGATGGACTCGGTCTGCTCGGCCATCCCAACCAACACCCCGCCTTGCTTCAAACTATTCTTCTCCAACTCCATCAACTTGGACAACTGGGCCTCCATCAGTTCCGTGGAGTCGTCGTAGAGCTGGGCGATCCGCTTGCCCTGGTCGTCCAGGCCACTGGACACCGTGGCCAGTTTGGACTTGAGGCCGGCTATTTCTTCCAGCACTTTCGAGGGGTCTGCTCCGCCGGAAGACGACACTACGGCCGACGTCTTCAAGGCGTCGTTGATGATGACGACTTCGTCCTTGATGAAGGCGATGTCGTTGCGGGCGTCTCGCAAGGTCGCGGAAACGTCAGAGTCGGGTGATGCTGTCCTCGATGCGGCTGAATGAAGCATGATGAGACATATATATGATATATAGACGCTGCCGATGATGATCGCGGATCAATCGTCAAAAGGATCTTCTTTTTTGAATTAATATTACTGGATTAACATTACTGTCGTCTTTGACTTGAGGAAATTCAAGTTGTCGGGTTTAATAAGTCTGAACTAACCAGGCAAAACAATGATTGCTGGCTGATGGCTCCTGCTCGATATATCTCAATATCAGCCATATCAGCAATCATTATATGTAGTTAGTTTAGAGTTATTTAACCCGACAACTCGAATCTCCTCAAGTCAAAGACGACAGTAAACTACTGTACCTTCCGCCTGCGTCGAATCTTTTTAAAGTTTCTATTTGAATTCCGAGATAGAAAGAATGCATTGAAAACCTCCACATAATATTTTGTAGGTAGTACAGTATATGCTGCACGATCAGAAAAGTCTATCCTCATCCGTATTTTTTTTAAACCGCCAAAGACACATCAAACAGCCGTAAAATGACAAACGATGATGATGAATTTGATGATGGTAGCGGATCAATCGTCAAGGATCTTTTTTTGTTTTAATATTAACATATATCGAGCAGAAACCATCAGCCAGCAATCATTGTTTTGCCTGGTTAGTTCAGAGTTATTAAACCCGAAAACTTAGATTTCCTCAAGTCAAAGACGACAGCACATGTACCCCCAGCCTACGCCTAATCTTTTTTAAGTTCCTATATATTGTATCTGAATTCCGAGATAGGAAGAATGAATTGAAAACCTCCCTATAATATTTTGTAGGTATATGCTACTGCACAATCAGAAAAGTCTCTTCTCATCGGTATTATTATTTTTTAATGCCTAAGACACATGAAACAGCCATAAAATGACAGACGATGATAATGATCGCGCATCAATATCGTCAAGGATCTTCTTTTTTTTCTAATACAGTATTACCAGATATCGAGCAGAAACCATCAGCCAGCAATCATTGTTTTACCTGGTTAGTTCAGAGTTATTAAACCCGACAACTTGAATTTCCTCAAGTCAAAGACGACAGTACATGTACCTCCAGCCTATTTCGAATCTTTTTGACGTTCCCAACTGTATATCTGAATTCCGAAGTAGAAAGAATGAATTGAAAACCTCCCTATATAACTCAAAGGCTTTCCACTCCAGCGTCCAAAAATCGAAATTTTCCGGAAGACTTTTGGCTCTTTTACCGTAATTTATTTTTGACACAGGAGGGAGAAAAGAAATAGAACTATACTTCGGTGCGTTTTGAAACGAAGTGGAAGACTTCGGGAAATAAACCCATGCCTTCAGCATCAACTTCAACATTTATCCCGTCAACCCATCTATTTCAGGAAAGAATTTGAGGCTTAGAATATCTTCAAATACAATTTACTGTAATTATTATTCATTTTCCCCAACAAAAATGCTCGTTTCCCTAGAGGCCTAGATGGAAATCTTTCAACTCGAATATTTTGCTGATCGTCTGTCGAAGTTTCCTTTTAGTTATTCAGTGAAAAACGACGAGGACAGTTATTTATTAAAGTGCAACTGGAATGCCATTCGAGTTTTCTGAAGGACAAGACAGAATAATCTTCTCTTGGATGACCGAAGATATTTTTTGACGAGACATTGATACAGTTATTCGCGCACATTTAATCGTCCTTCAATGCTTAGTGGGAATTAGTAAGATCATCTATTGTATTATTGAGCCCATATGAGAACTGCTATTGGAAGCGCGACTAAAAGGCCTGCGCCCTTCAACTTTCATAGAAGGATGAGACATGCAGATTATCCATATAGGATCAATAATAGGATTTCTGAAGATTACAGCAGTAATCCGCGAGAAACCGATTGTCTGATGTTCAAGGTCGGCAGTTTCCTTTTTAATCTAGTTGTGTTCTACAAAACCAAAATTCTGTCGAAGTTTAGTAAGAGATTACGTGAAAATCACGTTAACGGTTTTTGAAGACTTTTTTTTTCCTTCCCTGGATATGTTGAAAACGTAATTCCAGGCAGCCATCGGAACTCCATTGATAGCACTAAGTTGATTTTTTTTTATCTTCTTTGCAGCTTTGAAACAGTACAGGTCTATGTACAGTGAGACCCCAAAATGCTGACACCCCGACATACGGACGATTCGACTTGGGGACACTTAATTTAAGCTTTTAAAAATGTGACCAGACATCCGGAAAAAAACTCGACTTACGGACGAGATGCTTACAAAATTCCTTAAAAAAATTTATATATATTTTAAACATTTTTTTATTTCTTGAAGAAATTGAGTTATTTGCAGGTAAATGCTGAAAATAAAGGTTAACTTGAAATTACCTGAATATGATAATCGGGCTAATTTTGTGTTTCTTTTTTTTAACATTTTTTAGTATCATGTGTGCTCATACTACTTATAGAAAAGCAAAATCTGTTCTTCGTTATTGAGTTTATTCTGATTTTAAAAGATAAGACTCTGTCTGGTTTTCTTCGGTACAATTATTTTCTGTAGAACTTGATAAAAATTAATTTTCATATTGTTGGGAAGATTTTTTCTTGATAGTAGTTTTGATATGATGGAGAGCCACTTCAAATTATTTCCATTAAAGTCTGTAAAGGAAAACGAGGTCCGAAATGCGGACGTTCCGACATAGGGACAAGGTTGACGCAGTAATTACGTCCGCATCTCGGGGTAACACTTCGTTCTTTATTATGAGAAGAACACGGACATTTCAAAACGTTAATGGACGTATTTGTAAATTCGAAATGTAAATTAATATATTTCTGGGTTTCAAAAAATCAGTGCCAGCTTTCCAGTGCTCTTCCAAGAATGGTTCAAGTCTTACCTTTGGGCATTGAAAATAATTTATTAATCACGTATATTTTGTAGGTACTGTACAGTATATGCTACTGCACAATCAGAAAAATTTCTTCTCATCCATTTTTTTTAAACTGCCAAAAACACGTGAAACAGCTGAAGAATTTATATCTGGAGCATACGCAAAGTTGAGAACATGCTTCAAAGGATATATTACAACATTTTGGAAGCGTTGGTGTATTTTTCAAAGCTTTGTAAAGCCTTAAAAAAAATCAACGAATGCTGCATCTCTATATACACATTTCCTGGTACAGTACAGTATATATGACCTTCAGAAGAATCTAACGAAACGAAAAAATATCCATATCACGATATATGTTCCCTGCTTGCGAATTTGCGTGATAAATTACAGACATATATATATGTTTGTGCTGAAAAAGTAAAAGAAAGTAACAAACCGGATGCTTCTTTTTCCGCCAGATTCTGAATGTTGTCGAGCTTTGTCTCAATGCTGTTGATCTTCTGGCTCAGATCAGCAGTCATTTGAGCAGAAGACCTTGCGGAAATGGACTCCGGTAGTCTAGCATTGACAACCACGACCAACGATTCGATCGCTTGCGACATCTTGGATATTTGGTTGATTTGCTTTTCTTCTTGCTGTCAATTCAGTAAAAGAGTAAAGTATTGTATCAAAAAGGCACAGATAATCATAAATTTTGGCTTTCCGCATAAAAAAATTTCTTCATTTCCATTTGTCAGATGGTAAATGGACAAAGGGTTTTTTGTAAACAATTTTAAAATAAGTGAAACACTTCTATATCAGCCATTATGTGGCCAGCTACCTCTTATAGAGAGGGCCCTTCAAAATATATTTTAATGCTTCAATAAAATAAGTCAGAACAGGACAAACGCGGCGCAGTGCAAAAGAGTAATCTCAGCAAATAATCCCAGAGCACACAAATCACACAAACGCATCAATAGGTAAAGTTTGAATTTCCCAAGATCCTACTTCAACAAGCGCCAGATTCAGAATACCGAATTTTAGCTTCTTCTGAGCTCAAACTCTGGCACAGTCCTTATAACCCTCCTCCTCACCTCCAGTTTGCCCTGAACTTGGCAAACCGATAGCAAGGCAGGATCATCCGCCTATATTGCACTGCGACACACCTTCAATTTGGGCGGGTGTAGTCCAAAAGCCCCCCCTGCCAAAAGCCCCCCCTAGGGGGGGCTTTTGGTTGGGTACCAATTTGGGCACTGGGCAATAATGAATTCTTTGGTTGCCCGCCGGTGCCATCTATCATTGGCGACCCAACACCATAGAGTCTATAGTTAAGGTACGTATTTTACTAATTCTTATTTGCATCCATTTTATCATCTTCCTTCCTATTCATTAATAGGTGGATATAGGGGCTCTCGATATGGAAAATGTGGGGAATTTACTGCTCACCTGAGTCATCATGCGCTCCAAGTTGGCCAGTCTGACGTCCATTCTCCCCAAGTTGACAGCCACTGTTTCCATGGTCTTGGTGGCTGAAGCAATGCGGCGAACAGAGTTCAACAGGGAATTCGCAGTTGTCTTTTCTCGCACATCGTGCTTCTCAAACTTCTCCTTCAACTCAGTGAGAGCCGTGTGCAATCCGATCATGGAGTCTCGAATATCCGCGTTACTGCAATGATGCAAATCAGCAGGTTTGATCATATATACGTATTTACTCGAGTACCACGCGCACCTTTTTTCTAGAAATTGAGGCAGAAAAAAAAGGGTGCGGGTGGTATACTCGGGGATAAATTTTAGGGAACAAATTCCCAAGACCAGTGCCCAGTGCCCCTCACATCCAAGTAAAAAAATATTGAAGAGGAGATGTGTGGCTCCAAGTCTCTCCCTGCATGGGGAATAATGGCTCAATTTGTTTCATCCCTTGGAAATACAACAAGAAGTAAAGGAAGAGGGTAATATTAATCTAATCGAGGAAGCTTTCCTACATTAAAAATGCATTTCAACTGCTTCTGTACATGGAAATAATAGACAGAAACACAAAAAATTGATGAGGAAAAATGAATTTAGAAATAAAAAAAGATTTAATTCTTTTGATTTTCAGCAACAAAAAACGGGGGTGCGCGTCTTATACGGAAATAGGTTTTTGAACAAATTTCTGGTGAAAAAAATGGGGGTGCGCGCCGTACTTGATGGCGCGTGGTACTTGAGTAATAATACGGTAGTCACCAACTTCATCAAAGCATAGTAGGGGTGTATACCGATATTTCAGAGACAATAACAAGTTTTACACAGGTTTCCTAACATCCATATTCTGCTTTTTTTTTTAATCTGAAAGATGAGCTCAATAAAAGAAATACATTCTGCAGATGTTCAAAGGCATGGAAAGCACCAACACTCAAAGAATTCAATTATTTATAATGAAGAATTTCTATAGGGCTCAAACATTTGGGTGGGAGAAAAATGCAGGTGATGGTTAGTTGATCAAGTTCAGGTTTCTTTGTCAATTCAGGCACATATATAATACTGTACATGATCTATGTCTTATGCATCATCATACTTCCTCATGCTTTTATCCATGCATCTCTATAACAGAAGTCTGGATTTTAATATTATAATTTACCTTTTAAATGAAACAATTTTATTTTAAAAAAAGTTGAGTGAACCGCTCAAATATTTTTTTTCAGCTCCAACAAACTTTCATAATATGAAATAATGGTAAAAGCTACGCTTTTAAATATTAAATATTGTCACAATAAATGACTCGAAATTCCAGCAGCAGGTACCTTTGAAAAATTCATAACAATGAAAAATCAATCACAACCAGACCACTGAATAGCATCCAAAAGTTTTTGTCTCTGAGATCAAAAATCAATTTCTTCATACCCAAGCTTCTTCAGGAATATAAAAACGGAATTAAAAATGACAATTTTCATAACAGAATGGAGCAAAAAAAAAGAAATTGTTTCATTATACCAGCAACAAATTTTCCAGGATATAAAAATGCTCCTGCAGATTTTTTCTTTCTTAGAAGTATTTGGTTACTTCATTTTTGAAGAAAAAAACTAAATGATTGAGCAGTAAATATAAATTCAGAATTGCTTCTTTCAAAGGTTCATCTTAAATAATTATAACTGTCAGGGGTCAAATGGAAGAACTGCTTTTAAACAAATCAATTTATTGCAATGAATCTTGAAAATTCGCTATACAAGAGAAGAAAACAGTAGAAAACTGTTTCACAGGTTATTAACTGATGAAAATGAATCTTGGAATTTCTTTCCAGCAAGATGTTAACACCATGATCTCCATTTCGTTTTTGGCTGGACTTCCTGTAAAATTTCGCTATAATGAATCACTTGTTATAAGACAATTTGTTACACCGGTATTCCACCTGATTATCAATTACTCAACTTCATCTTGTCCCACAGGTGTTTGAGAATCGTAGACACTTTGAAATTTAAATTTTCCTTCAAGTCGAAAGAAAGATTACTCACGTGACATCAGCTGCAGGCTGCCCTAACCACCGCTGTTGAGGTTCAGCAGCTGTTTCACTTGGGAAAACCACTACAGTCAGCAGTAGTACACACAACCAACTTATGCTCAAGTGGTTCATTTTGCAAAGCAGCCTATTATAGAGAACAGGAACAATTTCCAATGAACACACATTTATCTTTTATCATAGTGCATACGGTATACTGTACTGTTACTGTACGACCATGGAAGGACATTGGTTCACCATCATTCACCACATTTACTCCAACGTTGGACGCACTTTGGTTCACACACAAGATGAGAAAACGTATTTAAATCAACAAAATCGTCGATTTAAAGTAATGAGGAAAATTATGCCCCCATTCCAAAGTTGGTTTCATGTATCTCCTTATGAAATACTCACAATTCAAAGAATTGAAAAAGTTGTCTAGAATTTTGAGTTGGAAATGTGACAATGCAACCGCGGCCTCAAAACAAAATGTTGTGTTTACTAAATTGATTTAACCTGAAGAAACCCGTGAGACGAACCTTGGTTTAAAATTTTTGGTCATGATTGAGATAATTACTTGTTCAGATGAGATGCAGTCAATAGAGGCTTTTGTACACTCTCTGATTGACCTCCTATTTATGCAATCGCATTTTCGGATAACAATTTTGAAATTATGGTGATTTTTTGCATTTGTTTTCGTCTCACATTTTTATCCGCTTATTTAAAGTAATTTTAGCCTTAATGTACTACAGTATAAATACAGTATAGTTTTACTCATTCAAGTCCCTAAAAAATATTTTTGAAGTTCATTGAATGTGCTTCAAGTATAACAATGCATCACCAATTATAAAGAAATTCAGAAAAAATATACTCAGGTACTTTAGACTTTAGAGCATTACTACTGTATGTATATTTTTACTTAAAATAATCCCAGAAAATTATCTATTTAAACTTCACTGAACACGCTTCAATTATGACAAGCACCAACATTTTTTTCCACAAAATTTGCATAAAAACTTTATAATGTAATATACCTGAGTCTAAACGTATACTTCTACTAAAACTGGTTCAAAAAATATTTTTTTAAACTTCACCGAATTTGGTTCAAGCATGATGGGCAGCAAAAAGATGTACTAAATTTTTATTAGATATGTATATAAATCATATATTAAACAAAATATATATACTGTATATTCTTCTTCAAACTAATCCCGAAAAATCAATTCTTCAAGCTTCTAGAAATGTTTTTCAACAAACGTACACCATTTGCAAAAATGCATTAGATTAGAATGACGCTTACGTCAGCCCACCTCTATTTGAGCTTACATATTTGTAAGAAAAGTACAGGTGGTACCTTGCAATTCAACCTCCCGCAATTCGACGGTCGAATTTGCAGGGAGGTTGATTTGCAATTTGAACCTTGACCCGCAATTCGACCAGCTTTGGCAATTTTTTTCGTGACTATGAATTTCAGGGAGTGTCTCGCAATTCAACCGATTCGCAATTCAACCCTAGTTCAGCAACGGATTAGGGTCGAATTGCAACGCACCATCTGTTCTCATTGAGTAAATACAGTACAGTAACAAATTTATTTTCCTTAAATTTTGTAGGAAAGTGCGGGTGGTGCTCATCGTGTATAAATAATACAGTATACAGCACATCCAGATGCACAAAACCACGAAATCGGTCACCTCTGTATACCGCGTGCGGCAGAAAAAAGCCGAGACTAAAAGCGGGTCGTTAGAATAAGAAGGTATACACACGCACAATGAGCGGGATGAGCCCCTGTGCTGCTCTTCGCAGCGCCCAGCAGATGTGCTGGGGATGTCTCGAAGAAGAGCTCCGTAACGAGTGACGGATACGGATGAGCCCGATCATCAGCATCACCAGGGGGGGAAAGGAAGAAGAGAATCCATAGAAGCCGAACCGCTGTGTCATGTTACTCGTCAAGCCAAGCTGCTCTTGACAGCTCTTCTCTGGGAGTATGCTGGGGGGGATGTCGTCGGCGTTCGTCTCTGGGGTACCTCACCCTTGTTTACGCCAGTTTCAGAACCCAGCTTCATTCCTGAGGGTATATATATAAATATACAGAATATGAAAAAGCACACACACCAATAATATACATACCTCCAGCGCCGAGGTCAACGTCACAATAATTCCTATACCCAAATCCACGCTTACGCGCGCGGAGACGACGAGGTATATATCGGATATCACCGTTTTCACAAACCGGTCGAGGGAATAATTCGCCGCACTGAACATCACTATGATAAACGTGGTCCTGAAATACTGTATATCAATCGAATACGTTAATGAATGAGAGAACTTGCTATCCAGGGGAAAATCGAGTTTGATAACCAGAATATAAGAGTAACAATATGTGTATACAGTTCTTATTTTTGGGACATCATATATTCATATTCCATTAAAATAAGTTAATACAATGGAGAATAATAAATATATATATAATATTCTCCATTAACTTAATTTGAGCAAAGTAGATGAACAAATCTATTGGGAGCAATTTATCAAAAAATATTCAATAATCTGCAATACTTGTTTAGTGTTGCAATCAACTACAGAAACCAAGGTGCAGTGCAGTAAATTGGCTTATTTTGCAGTATATTGATGCTGAATTCAGAAACTGAGGGAAGCAAAACTAATAATCACAAAATAATGCTGCATATGCTTCAGAAGTTTAGAAGAACTTTACTGTTCCTTTTGCTGAAATTATGGCAGGGTTTTCCTTTTGTTATTATTTTTAGAATAGGGTTTGCTGAAAAATGAGTAGAATGTTTTATACTGTACTGCTGTATACATGCTTGGGTATAACTGTAGAAAAGTCATGACTTCGACGCATCTTTAGAGTTTAGATGCAGCATAACTTACATTCATATGATTACATCAGTTATCAGTCATCGTGCACAAGAAAACAAGACAACGTTGGCGCAGAAGGCATTTAAAAATATTTTCTGAAAGGGATGAGCCATAAAAGCAAGTTCATGTACCAAAAATTATGTTCCAGCATGGATACAAAGATTAAACAGGTATAGTAGAAACTTTATTGCGGATATTGAAATGCCTGCATGTCAGGTAAATGTAAAATTTAGAAAATACGGTACTGATTTACAAGGATCGCAGAAATGGCAGCATACACCAAAGCAGCCCTAAGCCATGCAATTCTTCAAAGCGCGATAACTACAGAATAAATAGCATAAAATAATTTGAAAAATTTGCATTTCAAAGAAAAATCACAACCCGCGTTACTGAGAATTTAAAGTCTCCTCACAAATCCATCAACGATGACTGGTGGATTTTTCTGGTTTGATGCGGATCATCCGGCTGGGATCCATCAAAACTCAAAGCGTTCTTCGTTTCTTTCTCGTATACTCGCTCTGACCCGGAATAAACTCCAGTTGTGAAAGCCTCCTCGGCTTCGGTAGCTGAAATTTCGATTTTAAAAAAATTAATAAAAGGCAGAACGATAACTGTGGTTCCTGCGCATTTTAACCCATGACCGCGTTTTGAAAAATTCTGGGTAGGTGTCGCACAAGATTCATCAAAAAAGTTGTCAACTTGATCAGGTGGAACGATAGTAATAAAAATTAAGCTGCGCATGTTAATATAGCCAACAACTTGTAAAAATTTGGATGTACACATGATAATGTAAAAACCAGCACTCTATTATTTTCCTCTTGATGCTTAGAAAGTCGTACCCAACAGACAATTAGGTCTCTGCAGAATAATGACAATGCTTTTTAGGCTCTAAATTCAAATTTTTGTTAAAACGAAGGATTTTTCCAGGTGTTAATCAAGGGCTTTGTTAAATTGGGATTATCATACAAAACTCTTCACGTGAATCCTGAATTTTGGAAAAATATTTGAATGTCTCAAATTTTTGATGAGGTTTTCATTATCACTACTGAAAATCGTTGAATGTACTGTATATAATGACCACTTTGAAGGTCAAATATTTCTGCATCAGGGCTACAATAAAAAAGAAAACAAAATCCTTCTTAGGCTTGATCGAACCATATTTTAGACATAACCAATAAGAATGCTTTAATTGTAGGATTCTCACTCAGAAATTTCAGGCACGTGTATATAAGAACTTCATTTCATAATAATGACACAAAATAAATTAAATTCGAAAAAAAAATCTGCTCACCAGCTTCGGTGCCGGAATCAAAATGCAGAGTTTTATCCTCCGGCAAATAAATTTCCAGCGTAAACGGACGCGGACCAGATGAGTTGAAGGTCTTGCCAAATATATTCAAGGGGGTGAGCAAGGGCAGGAATTGCAGCGGGGATAACCCAAAAAGCTTCAGGAGCCCTCTTCCTTCCCTCATGGCCAAACCATCATTATCACCTTCCTGTTTATGGGTATCATCCTGAACCCGCAATCCAACGCCCTCCATTTCATCGCCGCTCATGTCTCGTACACGCCAACGGGCATTTCTGAGCAATTGTTCTTGGATTTGCTGCTGCTGCTGTAGCATCATTTCCTGCGATTCCTCGGCTATCCGAGGATCGCTTCCATCTGCATTCACTTCATTGGACAAATAAAAGCCCTTATTGAGGCAAATGAGGCAGGAAAAGAAGAGCACACTCAGAGACCAGCACCACTTCAACGCGCACATCCTCAAAAATATAGGTTCACACCTTTTCTTGAACTCCTGCGTGACACAGAATGTTGGTATACATCACGTTGAACAGTAAACCGCAATTTGGAAAAATAAACTTCCCAAGTTGAAGTAGTACACTTTCAAGACTTCTTCAAAAGGAAATGCATCAACATATTCGATGACTCCGCCCTCATCAGACATAAAGAATACGACTGTCTATTCCGATGGATCGGCACCCATCATTCCATCCTGGATTCAAAACCGCGGAAACGTATTAGACAGAAAACAAAATCACATTTCTTTCTTTAAATCAAAAAGTATTCGAGAAGCCGGCATTCCTGAAAGTTTCCGTTGTAGACGAAGGTTGTGTCACGCCCTCTGGCGGGTACACTATGCCACCGGGCACGTTCAACGGGTGGCCGATTTCCAAAGGAAAGAACCGGTTGAACTTGACAACCACGGGAAAGAACCCGTACTTGATTCCCACACGAACCGAGTCAACAAAGAGGGCAAACATGACCCCCGCAGCGAGAAGCATCAAAGAAGCGAACACCAGTTGGGATCCGTCAACGGGATCTAAGTGAAACACCAAAGTCCTTCCGCGCCGATTCCGTTTGCTGCTGATGTTTTTGGGTGACAGGATTTCCAACAGTCCTTTTAGAAGGTTTTCAGCATCTAGCAGAAAACTCGAGTATGCGTCGTCCAAATCACTCATCTGCAAATGGGAGGAAAAAATTACAAATAACTTAGAACGCGTAGAATTCTTCAGAATGATTTTTACAGAAACGCAATTGACATTGTGCTAAAAAAAATGACATTGTTTTTCAGAGCCAGGACAACGATTGGATATTTCGACGGTTTTCCGGTTTCCATGAAAGTTATTAGAAGTTTCGAATTTTGCTGAAAACTTGTTTGTATTATAAAAAGCAAATAAAATTTTGTTCAATCCGAAGATTAAAAGTCCGACTTTTTTAAAGCCTCGAAGGAAACGTATTAGAAACGATGTACCAAGAAATATTATATTTTTCCAGGTGCATGACAACGAATGGATATTTTGTCACGTCCACAGTTTACATAAAAATTATCAGAAATCCTGAAATCTGCTCCAATTTTTAATTAATTTTTTAATGTATTCGAAAATTAACGGATGGTCCATAGTAAATGTAAAACTTTTGCACTTCACTAAATTATTGTAGTGGGTCCTAATTTGGTCGGTCGCATGACCTTGAAATCATACCCCTGCTGAATAAGCTTCGATCCCAATGGAAAACCAATGCTTTTGATGTGTAACACTGCTGATGGAGAAAGTCTACGTTCACTTTGGGAACACTTCTTGAAATTAACACGTGCAAACTTTTTTATTTTAACGCTGGAATACCGCAGATATAGATGATGAGAGTGAATGCACACCGGTGTTCAATTTGTTTTCTATTTCCGCACAGGAGCGGAACACTTTAGTAACTAAAGTGTTCCGCTCCTGTGCGGAAATAATACCATCAGTGTCCTCTAAAAGTTTTCCTCAACTAAAGTTTAGTTGAGGAAAACTTTTAGAAGACACTGATGTATTATTGTATCGATTCAAAGAATCATAAATGGAACAGGATGCAGAGATGCTACCCCATAACCCCAATCATCACCCACGTTGAAATTCTGTACCAGGCATTCAAGTACCTGAACTCTAAATTATTTTAGATTAGTATTCTAGTATTCTGATGTGGGTTACAGCAGCACGCGTCACAACAAGTAAGAATCCCATTTGTAAAACTGCCTCATTTCTTATTAACTGCGTGCATGTGGGAGAATGGAATAAGAATCGAACTGCTGCAAGGGAGGAAATTCGGAGGTCCACCTTATCCGAACAATAAGTACACTGAGGACATTTCTTGTACCATATACTATTACTGTTGAATAAGCTATCGAGAGAGTTTATACCTCAGCTTATGATAAATCCAATCAAACACAGGAATCCAAACTCACCAAATAATCAGATACATCACTTGTCTTCTTAGGATCCCTGCTGGTGGCTTCGGAGAAACGGGTGGGAAGAAGGACAGCAACAGCAAAAACACTCATCCATGAGACACTTTTCAGCATGATGCTCAAATAAGCAAACTTCGTCTCTTGCAGCTTCAAACGGTTCCCCTTCTTGGACTATGTCCGAAAATAATCAAGGTTACCACGAAAAACGACGCCATGATGCAATGCAGGATGAAAATCCTTTCTCCCACAGCAGGCAGCAATAGTCTTTGTGCTCTCAAGAGTCCCTGATTATGAAGGCTAAACGAGCCTGTGTATAATAATGGGTCTCGCTGTTTGTTCTTTCGGCAATCACTATCCGAATAAATCTTTCATTTTGCATTGGCCCTCCACTATTTTTTCATCTTGCTTCACTGTATACCGCAGTCATTGCCGTGAATCTTTGAAGAAAAAAAAACTCCGTTCCTTTTGCAAACGATAGCAGCAAGCGATCGCTCAAATGGGCGCAGGAGAAAATCCCGTACGACCAATAATCCCGCGAAGTACAAACATGTACAGTATACAGAAAAGCACGCAGTTTATATCCAGAGCCAATGCATGAGATTAAAGCTCGGAATGAAGGCTACATATAATTCTCATCAGGCTCTTGAGAAATAAGGTACCGTAATCTTGGTGAACTTCATTTCAAAAGCAGTTCGAAAGACACTCCAAAGACGCGGCTCAAATAAAACGATGGAAACATGTGGGTAATTAGAGCCGTATATTATAATAAAGCCGTATCTATGCTAATTCAGGATTTTAAAAAAGAAGTGCTTTGATTTATCTGGGAAATCCGCTGCATAGGTGATATTTACGCGGATAAGGGGACAAAAGCAACAAAACGCCCTGTTCAAGGTAAACATTATTTTTCGGTTAACCATCACCAAGTATAAGTTATTCATCGAAAATATATGAAAACATGCTAACTACTGCACAAATTTCGAGTCGAAAATAAAAGAAAGCATTCCTCCATCATCAAAAGCTTCGAAAGTTGAGGAAAATCATAAGTTCCTTCATGACTCACTTTCTATTGCTTACGCAATTCTGTGACACCGAACATGCTCATCCTATACAACTTATTCTGATGATGTTCCTCATACCCTATCACAATACTGACATATAGCCAGCATATTCCAGCTCAAAATTAAGGTGCGCTGTTTCGATCAGTGTTTCCGGACGAGGTGTGCGATACACCCCCGAGGAACAGAATTCGCAAGATAGTGCAGTTAAAATGTACATATCACTTATTATTTCTAAATACTGTAGTTACAGCATCAGTCCATGATTTATAATCCCGATCGTTGCATCATATTTTCGTGGGAAATCGAAGAATTTATAGGATCCGTGAGAAACCGCAGTCTCATGCTTTTGGCATTTCCTTCAACATTACCTACACAAACAATATATCATTTTCAAATTTAGATGACATCAGCAGAAGCATGATTTTTTCCATTGGCATATTTCCGCAGGTTTACATGGCGAAATCTCAGGGTAATATGAAGCTTCTTGAAAGCTGCGTCTCTTCGAACACGCACAATAGGATCAGTATACAGTATTCGTCAAGATTTGGACACCGCGGTTAAACGATTAATTTTATAGCGCTCGAAATGAAATCGCTGTTTACTCGAGTACAGATGACGAATAATCACACTATACATAGAGAGAACGGCCGATAATAAATTTCTGTATCTATTCACGCGTACAAGCACTGTATGCATCAGTTAAATTCGCGCGGAGATCGGCGGAGGATGAGCAAATTTGAACACAATTGTGTACACATGCGCGCACGCATTCCAGACAAAATATTCGCAGTAGTTTCAGAATAAGTACGCATATTTTGTACCCTTACGAAAGTCTTTCGATGAATAACGCGACACTATTATGCACACGCAGCTTCGGTGTGCTGATGCTCATATGCAGTGTAGTTCTCCACAGCACATAAATGCGGAGCACACATATGTGAAAACCATACAGAGTTCAGTAATGCGGGGATCGGCAATCCTTTGAGTACTTCCATTTTCTCATTCACTGCCCACGGGAATACGGAATGTACAGAGCAACTTTACGTTAATAATTTTGGCTTGAAAATGAATGATGCATCGAAATTAATGCTGCATATCGGAACATACAGCATCACATGCAATGCACATTACAGTACTGTGGTACATAAGCTTAACAATGCTGGTATGCCAAAAAGTGCCGAACTGGAGTAACCTGGTGAGCTGCATCATCCAGGTTCTGATCTCTCGGAAATGTATTTCATCTGCATGCCAGCATGGGTACTCCCATCCTCGTTTTCCATTTCTGAGGTGATTAATTGCTCGAGCTTCTCTCTCATAGTGACACGTCATGCAAATACGCTTCAGTGAAAAGCTGAAAACTGCTGCGAGATGGCATTATAGATCATGATCATCAATTATAAAACGAAGCAAGTTCGCAATAAAGCACCCTTTCCATGACTATAATGAAATGATGTTTCTTATTCATGTACAGAAGATGCGCTCTTTATGATGACGTCAGCACATTTGTTGCATCGTCAGGAAATCGCCGACTGGTATATAACGCCATGAAAGATGGTTTTCCCAGTTTGAGTGTGATGCTGGGTGGAGTTCGACGACCAAATAACTCGCTCTTAATTTCATAATTGGCCACGCATTTCTTTAAAAATGTCGGATTGTATGCTATCCAAATAGTTCCCCCAAGAAATGAATACCCAGATCCAGTTCGGTCTTTTCTACAGACATATCAAGTGCAAGAAGGCTCTTCTCTTACACAAAATCGTCCCAGGAATAAAAAATTGCATTCTTGAAGTGTCAAAGATACACAGATCAAGCGCATGTTTGCCTCCGAGTAACCTTCATGTACAGTATTTATTAGAATTACATCCGAAATTGAATATTCACCCTCAGCTTTGATTTTCTCATTTAAAATAGGGGTGGTAACCTTGATACAGTGTGAAAGTGTGCAAGGTTATTGAACAGGTGACTGACATATGCGTAGATGAAGACTTTTCAAATCCTTCAAAATTCAATGATGAATTATAGGTTTTCAGGGATAAGAAATGGAGGTGCGACTGACAATGAAAGGTATTTAATTCCTGAGTAAGTATGGTACTCACGTGAAGATGGTATCTTACGTACGTAAAACACCCCTCGCCTAGATTAGTAGTAAACATCGTGTTCATCATGAAATCCGAAATCAATTATAATCTGTTTCTCCATTTTCCCGTACAATGACAATAGAACAAAGACGTTTCTGTTAAAACTCTCGACCGCACTAACGAAGCAAAATGAATATCTTTTGAAGTTTTCCTTTGTTTTCGCAACGGTGCGCGGTTATCACATACACCACACAACACACGCAATCGCCTTAGAAGTTGTCTAATACTTCGACAGAAAACGCGGAATGCAAGCACATGGTCCACGAGAAGATTCCCAGCAAGATTTTTGGAGTTAACGTGCGGGTTGACAAAAATACGAAATCTGAAGCAAGATTTTTCCAGATATATCGCCGTTCAAAGAAATACAATTAAACAAGTTCAATATCAAAGGGGATATGGTCAACAAGGTTTCTGAACATCGAACCACACTCTCTTCCCAACCAAACGCACAATTTTCTACACTCAATATCGACGTTACATGGAATTACGACAGCTCATCACAGCTAACCAGAAATTAAGCGAGAGAACCGAGCAACAATTGAAAGACGAACACGCGGAAAATTGAAGATGCCACTTCAGTACGACATCTACCTCTCCAACACATGTATCCTGGTGACATGCACCGCGAAACGCGTATCTTCTATCTTTAGTTGAGGCTTCAATTTGTCAACGTGTAGCATATATTATACCCTCGGAAGGACGTAAACGCCCCAGTTTACAATAATATGAAAGATGGAAACAACTGAGTACGTTCTGTTCTAGGCTACTGTAGTGAAGAGTTCATAAAACCTTCGTAACTCTAGAAAACCTTTCAACAATCAAAATTCATGGCGTAACCCTTTTTAAAAACGTATCACCATGAGACTGTTACATCTACTTTATGTCTCAGATTTCATTTACTAGTCTTCATGGCCATCGTCTTGGGCGCTGGGACAAAAACGTCCTCGCTTATTCTGTATGGGCCGCCGTATTTTTTCATTTGAATTTTCAGGCAACTCAGCTCTCTTCAGTTTTCTAAAAGCAGACATTAGTACACAGGAAGCAGAAGCGGTTTGTCATAGACTAAAATATCGAAAAATTAGATGAAGTTCGACAACACCTCAATGTGAATAGGGAGCAGATGACCAAGATAAGACATTATCCAGCCAGGATTTCGATAAAAATCGTGAATTTTACTGAACGTTGAACAAACTCACGAGAAATACTGTAGTTAGATAAATTTTCAACATGAAATAACAATATTTCAAGTTCACTGACGAAGTGTAGAAGGTATTTCGGATCAAAAGGAATTGTAGATGAGACACTGAACAGGCACCAAATGAACGAACATAAAAACACCCACTTAGTAGTTGCAAGAGATGCTAGCGGATCCTCAATCACTCAACCTGCTCTCACACTTTTTTCCAAGTTTGAATCTTCCAAGGAGATCAAAAATACACTTTCCTTACCTTTCCTCCACGTGCTACAAAAATTCGCGTACCAAATGAGCGCGACGGCCGATACAAAATAGCGCGACAGGGAAGAAACTGTGTGAGTGGTTCACAAAAGTTTTTCTCGGGAGTATTCCTCAACTTCGGGGCCAAGCACGGTTTCGCTCAAGCTCTTCGGCGAAGAGGGCTTAGCGCGGGTGCGAGATTCGTCTAATTGCCACACAGCCGATTCGGCACTGGATGGCGAACCACTCGTGGAAGATGCCTTTACGAGCGGTAGAATCGGAGAAACTGCATCTCTTGTGGGCATCGGTGGATTCATCTCTGCACCCGCTTCTTCATGTCAGTTGCTCAAATCCGAATTAATGAAGTGTCTCAGGCGTTCGAGGTATTGCGGGAAAACCTCGATATCATTGTGATTCGCTCCCTGAAACAGAAGAGAGGTTCTCCTTATACTGAACTCAAACAATCAACGCACTCCTCCACCCCCGCTGGTTCAGAAGCCCTCTCAGGCTTTTATTTCCCCATCAAAAACGATGTATTGAGGTACAGTAATCACACTTTTCAGACTAATAATCATTTCTCTTTTTGAAATACTGAACCTATTCACAGACGCAGATCGAACAGGAGATAATGCAAGAGTTGTAAATCAACGGGTGCAACAGAAGTTCACCGGTCAAATTTTCATTTTTCTCTAATCATAACGGATTGAGCGAAGATTGAAAAGCAATACAAAATAATCTGAAGAAGTTCGAAGCCACACGTTGCTAAAGAAAATTCTGCATTAAATAGACCAGGGCGTAGATGCAAGTTCGAGATAGATTATGCACTATTCCACAATCGACTGAAACCGAATATCAAGGTTCAAGAAATGCAGTACTGTACCTCAACCCACAGCGGTTCAACCGGTTGTGAGCATTTCTCGTAAATCGCAACGCCGTGGGAGAAATTGATAACCTCGTCTTCCGTCCCGTGGATTACCAGAACCGGCGATTGAATCTTGTGAACCTTCTCAATGCTAATGAAAGGATAAAAGGCACGTGCGAGCATTCCGGTGATCAATATTTGGTGTTTGTTCAATGAACTCTACGCGCAGAATGGAACGACAGATTACCTCGTGAAGACATCAAAACACCAAGTACGACGAGTTTCGAACAACACACGCATCCCTGACATCAACGGCGAATGAAGAATGACGCCAGCAAAATGATTCCGGGCAGCCAAATCAATGGTCGGGACTGTGCCGATACTTTGACCATAGAGGATAACGTTCTCGGGTGAGATCGAGTAACGCTTTTGGAGCGCCAACCAGGCAGCATTGACATCAGGGTACAGATTTTTTTCCAATGGCTTCCCTGAACTTGACCCGTAGCCAGAATAGTCAAAGCTGAATATGTTGCAGTTGATTCGCATTCCAAGCATCACATAAAAACTGCTGATCATGCCCAAGTCCACAGCGTTGGCGTGAGAGAAAAGCACTGTGTACTTGGCATTTGGGCAGCATTTCACATACATGCACGCGATTTTGCTTCCGCGGCTTGTACGCGTGTAAAACGCATCTAGGCATTCCTTCTCCGCATCGCCGAATTGCCACTCGGCTCCTTCCGTGAAGTTGATGGTATATTTCTCTTCTTTCTCATTGACAGGAACAAAATTATATGTCGGGACTGGAGGCCTGAAGGCTACTTTGGCCGTGATTGTTGAAGGGCATGGTGGACAGCAAAAAAGGCAGCACAGCTTGCTGAAGCTCATTCCATTCATGGTTTCTTCTTCTGCCCCGGGCGCGTCCAGCGTGCAGTGCGAGTTAGACATAAAAATTATGAAACCCTACCCGGCACCAGCCTGAAGAATACACATACGTTACTAGCAGGAACAACTCCGCCAACACACGCAGACTAAAAATATCGCACAAACTCTCCGGAGTTGCATTCACTCAACGACATTCTTTGACCCAGAACCACGTATGAGAGGAAGAACGCTACAGGAATTGTGTGACGAGATGAATTCAAGGCAACATCACTGGCTGAAACGCGATTAATCCAACGTTCCACACACAGGTGAGGATTGTGATGCGAGGTGCGCGTAGGTAGATAAGGGATTTAACCGAACAAGTTCTTCGCCTGATGATACTTTAGGTGGGAAAATTGAACTTCGGTGAAATACTGTACAGTACATTGTTCACTTTAGAGGATCTAGGCAGGCTACCTACTGTACTTGATGCACCTAAAAATTCAATTTCCCGGAATTATTCTAGGATATAATATGTCGATTACAGAAAAATGACCGCAATTATCAAGTGAAACCCACAGCCTTTTATTCAATGGGCTTCCTAGACTCAAGTACAAGGAATGATACGAGATCAACATCGGCACATGTTTATTATACTGTACTCCTATACAACCAGTTCAATCCTCAATATTCAAAATAATTTGGACTACATAAAATATACGAGGCACTCCAAATTGCACAAGAAATTCACCACTTTATAAGCGAACCCATAATTCCACATAGCGCATTCCCTTTATCTTTAAATTATTTCAATACCCGAATGCATCCCAAGCAGCATATCCACGTTTTTGACATTCTTTGACAACCGCCACAGGATCATCAGCGTTTATGATGCATCTTCCAACAATGAGTATATCAGCACCCTATAGAAGAATAAAATCAATAGAAAGATTGAATAAACGCTGCGTTTAAATCTCTGACTTGAGCAACAGCTGCTTCTGGAAGTTTATATTTCTGCCCCAAAGAGTCTCCTTCGGCAGCCAAATGTATTCCCGGCATCCAACGCAGGAACTTGTCTGAACCTATTCTTGATTGACAGACGAATCCCATAACAAAGTCGGGAAATTTTTCAGCGATTTCCAAAACACCTAGAACGCACAAATACAGAACATTTGAAGAGTCGATATAAGTAGCGTTTCAAGTTTTACTCCGAAACATCCTAAAATTTTCTGACTTTAAAATCAACTGCTCAGCACTCTGAGCATTTTTCAAACGATTCTGAATGCGCAACGATGTCACGTATCAATGCAGAATACATTTTTAATCCTTCTCAAATTTCACTTCCGCAGCTTTTGTGATAAATTTTTTTGCACTGTACATTAGTTTCTTCTGAGACGGACACGTTTGTGATGATTAGAAAAAAATCTGTTTTCACGTAGGACAAGATCGGGGTCAATATGGGTGCTGGGTACTCTAAACATTTCAAGACTTTCGTAAACCATCCTCCGTGTCCCGGTTTTTTGTTCAATATTAAAAAAATTATTTGAAGATGTGGTTTAAGGTCGAAGTTGAGCAAAAAAAAAAAAAGTATTTTCATGCCTACCCGCCCATACGCAAGAAGTTTCCTGGGATCACTGGCACACTAGATGCTTTCTTTCCAGCTCCCAGTTTCTCTGAAAATTTGGTAAAAACCGTTCGATGGACAGAAAATGACATTCTTAGCACATGAAGTCCAATTTTTGAAAACGCCTCAGTCCTAATTTTTCTAACTCTCGTGATATCATGACACAAAAAAGGTTTTCTAGATGAGAAATATTTGAATCTTCATGACAGCTTTGTAAAGCCCTTTTACAAGTGAGCTGAATAAAAGACTTGTGCAATGTTTCTGTGCGCCTCGAAGTAGGCTTGTGAGTAAAAATCGGAGAAATTAAAAAAAAAAAAAAATTCGCCGCATACCTTTGCTGTAGTCGCCAACAGCCAGGCTTCCGTCAGAACTCATCTCTGCAATGAGTAACACAGCCCTCTCTTGAAGCATTTCTTCAGGAAGCGCAGTTTTCAAACCTTCAACCGTTCCAGACCCAGCTATTCCATGAACCGTCACGATATCGGCCCAATCGCTAACTTTAAACTTGCCCGCGTACTGTTCTTTGACTGTATTACCTATATCTGCGAATTTTCGATCTTCAACAACCAGAAACTGGTACTTTTCAGAAAGCTCCTTTAACATCAGGCCTTTCTCGGCGCTGAAGTCTTCGATAATATCATGATGCACCTTAAGGGCACATATGTAATTTCCAACTTGGTGACAAATTTTCTCAATAGCTTCAAAAGATGTATAATCGGCGGATAAACACAAGTTGGTCTGCTTCGATTTCATGATGGACAAGAGTTTCGGGATAAGCTTGCATTCAGAATTCGTCAACCGATCTGCTTGCATTGGATCTGCAAGAAAATAAATAAACTGTCATTCAATCAGCATAAGAAAATCTTTCATAAACCCGGTAAAACGAAAACTGCACGGGAAATTCTTAAAAAAATTATGGAAATTTTCATTGAACCGTGGCATTTGAGAAAACCTAAAATTCTTCAAAATTAGAAACTGTTCTTCTAGACAAAAATTGAAATAAAACAAATTTTCCCAACATAAAGAACTATTTCTTACAATTCTTGCTGGCCCAAGTCTCTCCATAAATCTTCCGGTAATTTCAATGAAGATGAAAACAAGGTGGTACTGCACATAAAAAGTGTTGTAGTGTACTTCCAAAATTTGATTCTCGCAATTCGGATGACGATACTTATAAGCTTCACTTATAATGTACAGCAAGGGGATGTTTAAAAATGGATAGCATTGAGTAATCAAACAAATTCGGGAAAAATTTTAAAAGCTGAACTTATTCTGTCCAAGCAAATGTCATCGTATCACAAATTCAATTCTATTTATCAGTCATTCAATGAAAAAGAAAGATTTCGAAGGCTTTCTTCAAAATAAGATTTGTAAACGTGAAAATGTAACAAAACTTAAGAAAATTGAATCAAACAGAATTTTAATGCACGTACTTTCTGTCGTATAACGGTTCATGGGAATGAAAAACATTTTTCAAGTCATTCCAAGTTTCCAACCGAACGGAAAATTTTGATTTTATCCTCGAATGCAGTATGACCATTATCACGAATGAGAAGAGGATCGGAAACAAGCTCACAATTCGGAATTTTAGAGACTATTCCAGTCGGAGTTTCTGCGATGAACTTCTCTATTTTCAAGGTCAGCTCTTCTTCGATCATTCCCATTGCAGCATATTCTTTGATAACCTGAAATACACACAGACACAAAGTAGACGAACCTATATTTCTTTCTTCAAGTAAGAATGAAGAAAAAAGTAAGTTTTTTGTTAAAAAGTTCATTGCGAAAATCAAGAGGTTTATTATAAAGATTGAGAATCATTAGCTCAAAAAAAGTAACCTGATCCAGTCGAAAGATCGATTGCACGTCAATGCCATGTTCCCGCAAGTTCTCAGCTCCACCTTGACATCGATCCAAGAGTACGATGGCATTCGAAACAGTCAGACCTTCTTTCCGCAAAATCTTTTAAAATGCCAACCGTTTAAAAAAATACTCGTAAAAAACAGGATCGACGAAGCTCACGTTGGTAACTTCGCAAATCGACGTGCCAGAAGTTAGGACATCGTCGATGATGATACAGGAGTCGCCTGATTTGAACACGCCTTCAATTACCTGCTTGGTACCATGGGTTTTCGCACCTTCTTTTCGGCAAATAATCAAAGGTTTTTTGCACTGGTTCGCCACCAGAGTGGCAATCGCCAATGCTCCGTAAGGTACTCCACAAACTTGATCTCCCTCCGTTCGCTTGACCACCTCGGCGATGATTTCACTCAACGAAGTCTGCGGAGATCAATAAATTACTGATGTAACCGCGAAAGATATCGTCAAGTCGAGAAGGACAGCAATAACTGTACAATTTCAAAAATTTTGGACGCGAGCCACGAGGAATTCCGCAAAAAATCGCGATGGTGAATTATTCATCGCAGTATTGAACTGTACATCCTCAGCGCCTTTGCTGACTGCTGACATGAATCCATCACATGCCACCAAAAATAACATAAGACACATTTTAAAATGTCTTTCGTGCGTCGGAATGATTTCTTACATTAAAATCCAGGCGTTGGCTCATGTTCCTCAAGATATCCAGCATAAATAGTCACACAAACATTCAAGAATTAATAAAAAACGAAGCATTAAATTTCAAAAATCTTACTGGATGGTCTTCAAAATAAGTTTATGGACAGTGTTGGCGATTCTCCAAGTTGTGGGTAAAAAAAAAAAAGGAAACTTCTGATGAAAATGCGTTCATTGTGAATTTAGCTGGCGTAAAAGACAATTGGAGAAGTTCACTACGCGTCGGAAAGTTATGCCAACAAAGATGGGATCATAAAAAAAAACTGGAACATGGTTTCTTTGCTCGTTGGGGGATGTTTGTGTCATAAATAGAAAAATCATCCGCGTGCAATGAAAATTTGTCGAGGACTATCACGACTCCAGTGAATCCCCTGGTCCAGATTCAAAACGCACCAGAAGTTCGCAGTCGCTCACGACGCTCCTGAAGCTGATGTATACCGGAGAAAGGATGCCAGACTTGAGTGTGAAGGACCCGAACTTGACAACCCCAAGGTCGAATAACTTGCGAAGCAATGATCGATCGTCTCTCAACATAATTCTAGAACTTCACTGGGCTACTCCTAAACAACAAAATATCATATACATTTTTTTTCAGAAGAAATTAATCGACCTTGAAGGAAACTCCCGGAGTTCACGTGGAAAAAAGCATTCATTTCGTACACGCCCACAATTATAAACAACAAAATTTATCCTTCGGGCTGCAAAAAAGGATTCGGTATGCTTTCGGTTCCATCCATGGGGCAGATGAGGACGATTGCAGTTCCTCGGCAAACGACCAGACCCAACTGCCTTGTATCATCAGTCAGTTTGAAAGGATCATCGAGATCTGAAGAAAAATAATTCAAGAAAATTATGAGAATCAAAACCTTTCATAACGTCAGGAATGGAGTCTGGTTACAAATGGAATTTCTATATTACACCCACACTCCACGGATGAAAAAATCTTCGTAGCTCTATGGACACTACTATACATCACTTCAAAGGATGTAATCTTTCCAGATGAAAAATCTATGTAAAAGAAAAAAGATTCCTATAAAAACTACAGAGTAAAAAGTGAAACTAAAATAAAATATGCTTGATAGGCGTAGAGCCCTTATACTGTGCTTTCATCACGGCATTCACGTGTTATTTCAATAGGAAGATCAACGATCGAAGTTTAAAACATGAACGCAAGCGCCTTTTCCGGCAGGAGAATCCTTCAGATGCACGAAACTTGTGACAATTATGATTCATATTCTTAAACGGTAATTTGGGTGGAATTAAATAATATTTTCTCATTAAAAGTCATTGAGCAGGTTTCAGTCAACTACAATGACGATTTAAAGGTAACCTAGAGGATTTCTGAAAAATCTCTCGAAAACATTAATCTTTCTTGAAGATCTCAATTAGTTCAGGCTTTCATATTCGGGGGAACAATGCAAACGTAATAAATCTGATGAAACATCACCATCTCAGTTGCGCACTTGATGAGTGACGAAGACCCCAGAAGAATATTATGATGATCTTTTAGCATTTGTGAACATGATTAGTGAAGAAAGATAATCTTCTTCCTCGCCAAAGGATTTCCTCATCTATAATCAAATCTCAATCCTCCCTTGAAATCCTTCCCAAAGCCAGTTTTAACGTAGGCTTTGGAATATTGTGAATTCGGAACGCGTGAATAATGCATGATACGTACATGCGTCGTACTTCACCCATTAAGAAGCCACATTAATGCGTGATCGGATTAGCAGAAAGGATTGATGGAATCAAAAAAACCGTTATAAAATAAATTAATACTCGAGGACTAACATTAAGTCGTAGAACTGCCGCTAGATGGGTTATAAAATTGCTCGATCGCTAGAAGTTTCCTGCTGATCACGAAAAAGGAAAGCATTTCTACAACGAAGAGGAAATTACCCATCCATCGGAGGATCATTGACAAAGGCGGGAAAAGTGCCGATTTTTGCAAGGACTGTACTTCAATTTCCACATAGGTTACTGTAGATTTTAGGATCTTCAAATCATTCTTAATTTCATCGTACCGTAAATTAAACTAGCCGTAACATGATTCGTTGATTGTAAAAAAAGAAGTAAAAATTGACTACAAGATTTCATCTGTCTACGATTATTCATTCGAATCAGATTTAGTTTGTCATCCATATAATTCTAATGAAAGAGGTGCATCTGCCACAGAATACGTAAGAAATATTCAATTTAATTCAGTGAATTGTATCTACGGTAAGTGACAAACTTCAACTTGATAAATAAATTGTAAGTGATATTTTCAGAGAGATGTGGTCTCATTGCCAGTAGAACATTTCGTCAATAACTCGAATCAATTTAGAGAAACCGCTCGTAAAATCTTGCTGATCATTGCACAAGGGATCTATAACCAGAATAGATGGCTTGACATTGTTTACGTACCTCTGACGTATTCCGTCGTCGTGTCAAGCACAAGGTTAAGTAACGGATCGAATCCCTTCAGGACGCCGGAAACTTCTCTACCTCCTCCAAACTTGACACGAATGGCTTTGTCCAAATATTTGCTGAGATCCAAAATACTCTCCCTCTTCTTTTTCTCTCCCACGTTGGAAGCCCCTCCACGACCACCAGTCGGTCCTGCCTATTCACAAAAAATTTCAATTTCCTCTCAAAAAGGGCGTTCGAAAATTAATAGAAAAAGCATCGAAAAATGGGAGCAATACTCACGGGCATTTTTACTGAAAACGTGAAAACGACCACGGAATACAACTGAAAACGTTTCTGCAAAATGAGGTAAATATTAAAAACACAAACGCTCCAGAAGTATTTATCTGTAACACTACACATTCACAGGAATAAGAAGGCTATGGGTTGCTAACATTTTATTAAAATATAACAGGTACAAATCCCCCACTAAGAATTCATTCAATAACTAAAATGTTCAATAAAAATATGCGAATGATCACTGAATGGAGTTCGGACGGCATCAACGAACAGGAAACAATTTTTTGGCTTTAACTCACGAGAGATTCACGAAACAAAGAATAGCAAGCAATAAAACACTGATCGACAGCCCAACCGATGCAGCACCATTACACCCATCCGCACTACAGGTGTAGAAACAGGAACGGTACTCTCTCTTGTCTCCAGGTCGGGTTATATACTCGCACATGTTGCCCATATCAACTGACGTGCACATGCGCTTCGTACCCATTTCACCTGATTTGAAACAAACAAGAAAGTGACCTATATAACCACAGAATCGCACACACCATCAAAGAATAATCCGAAAACGAAACGATGCCGAGAATCAGAAACCTTATGATTCTCGGAAAGAAGCATTCTTCTTTGACGAAATTAATCAAGCCATCAAATTAAAGTAAAATACTGCAATAAAAATAATTCACTTTTCTTTCGCATTCTCGTGAAACATATTTCTCTCAGACGATGCCCCATTACAATGATACAATAGCTAATTTTTGCAGCGAAAAATAATACCGAAATTAGTAACAGCTCAAAAATGTAAAGCCTAAAATGAAATAAATATGATATACTGTAAGCCTGTAATTTGAAAATAGGATTTTAACAAAGAATCAAGCTGGGTCATTTAAATTCATCAGAAAAAGGACTCTTCAAGAAGAAAGGACAGGAAAATTGACAGGTACTGCATGTTTTCTTTGATTATACGTTTTCAAGATCTCATTACACTCACGCGATTCATAGTTAGGTTGCTTCTTCCCTCAAATTCATAGGAATTTTTCATTTCATTTTCATTTTAGATTTTCATTCCCCGGTATTAAAGTTTATCCCGTGCTATTTTTCCTCTCTGCCACATTTTCTCATGACACCACTACGACTTGATATTTCTTCCAATATTCTGATCATTCTGAAAATTTAAAATACCACTTTTCTCTCTCCAGAAGATCCTTCGACAATTCTTCACATTCCTGAACAATGGTGAAACAGCATTTACAATTTTGCAACTCCGTCAATATCAAACAAATTGTTTTCAGTTCCACGCACCTTCGAAAAGTCCGGTCATTTTGACGCAAAATTTTGCATCATATTCGTTGCAGGTTGAAGGTTCGAGAGTTGTATCCGAACGCAGAGATTCGCCACATTGTAACTCTTCCGAACTCGTACATTGATAGCATTGTAGTCCAGCTGCAAAAAATAAATCCCTCGCACGAATAAGCATTGTGTTTACTGAGAAAATACATTCAAATGTTTCGTCCCTTCAAAGGTCTCGGGCAGTATTTGATTATAAGATTAGGAACGTTTTGGAAAAAAATGGTTGGACAGGTCCGGCAGTTGGAAGAAAAGAAAATCAAAATTTTTTTTGATACTTTTCTTTCCATTGGATTTCAAAGCTTCCTTGACCAGATATAAAATAAAGAACTCACCTACGACGTGAAGAAGAGCAACGCCAAACGCAATGTAACACAACGAATAAGCGTACTTCATTCCACCGAATGAAAAACAAAACCGTTACTCCTTCAACCAGGAGAAGAAAACTTCATTAACGTACATATCCAAAATAGAATAATAAATCGACTCAAAAGCGAGCTTTTGGAAATCAAAAACGCATTGCGTGTCGTGGATATCAGCGGGTAATCCGCCATCTAAATTTCGTTCCGTTGGCACCCGACAACTCGATCAGTTCCTTCATGCCGTACTTCACGTTCTGTTTTCATAAACACGTAGAATCCGACACGAAACACATTCAGGAGAAAATAAATAGAACAAACTTTAAGCGCGAATTATGGGGGGAGAATGAAAGACGGCGTGAACTAAACGAACGAAGCTACCTTTTGATCATTGAAAAACAAACACACGAGAATGGCATCAATAAAACAGCATCAAAACTTGGAATTCAAGACCAGATAATATAACTCAATGACGTAAAGAAAGCCGAACAAAAAAATCGCATACGCGTCAAAAGCACCCACCACGTGAGAATCCTCGGGTCAGTTACCATTCCACATGACAAAACAACACAAATTGTTTCCGTTCAATCACAACAACCACGATTTCCGGCTCGCACTTGATCAAATTCCAAGAAAAACTTGTCAAAAAACCTGCCAGGATTACCTTCCTTTCCTTTTCATTTTAAGCACGGGCAAAAACGGATGGCACAAGACGCTGACTATTAAAAAGAAACAAACTTCACTCCAAGGCATCTCTGAGATCGTTGCTACAAAATACAATACAAATTACACTTGTTCAGCTACGCGAGGGAAGGCAATGATCAAAATACAGTTTGAATTTCAACAAGCTCAGAAGAAGGGCTTCAAAATTTCCGTAATAGTTCATGCTTTCAATCGACATCTTCTCCGAAGATAGTTCCAGCAATGTGCCCTCCAAGATAAATTCACGGAATTATTATTTCCGCCCGATTTCAACAAAAATAATCACCAGATTTAGGAAAAACGTACAGTAGTATCCAAAATAAAACTCAAGCTAAACTAATGATAGTCGACGGTATTTCGATGCTTCTGTGGGATTTTTTCGCAATGCACATTTTGCCAACAGTAATGAAACCGTGAGTGACTGATGAATGAAGACACATTGAAAAGAGTTTTCATGAACATAACTAAATAAAAGGCTGAATACATTTCATGTCATTACACGGATAGCGTATCATTTAGATATTGCTGATGAATAATTTATGCTCGAAGTTGCAACAGACAAGCAGCAATATCAAGGCTTACTGATCTTCGCATAATTTGTTTGATATCAAGAGACTTTTTTGCCTAACCTCCGAACAAAAAAATTATCTTCGAAAGAGAAGGGTAAAAAATTGGTCACCATAACGTACATTTTTCCAACATTGCCTCTGAAGTCACCTGTCTCAATAAATGATCAGATTTTTCTTTTAGCACGTATTGTGCAATCTTGTGAGTATGTCGTAAAAATGTGTACTGTATAAGATGCCTCTTGGCGAACTCCGGCATTCTGGATTCTCAACCTTGGATTAGTTTAAGTTAAATGTCTCAAAATTCATCATAGTGCCCTTTTCTTAAAAGTTTATGCGAAATTTAAAAAAGGTACCGTATTCATTAGCTTGATGTTCATCTCTTCATCAGCACTCACTCGTTTCGATTGTGAACTCGCATCCGGAACAATAACGTACTTCAACACTGACACGGAGATTTTCCAATCATAAAAATTCAGCCCAATTTGGAGAGACACATGTCACTATTCTAAAAAATATCCGAATGGAAATTGACGCTGAACAGCGATGCAAGCTCGCACAGATTATTGCGAAATACGTTTTCATTAAAAAAAAAAAAAAAAAAACAGCAGCATCAAACTGGCAAAAAAACGCAGGTCCACAACAACCAGGCACGTTTGAGATTCCCACAAACCGCGACGGAATGGAAAAAGAAAAGCACGAATAATATCAATAACCTGCCTCCCTTGGCATCACATTCATTCACCCCGGGATCGCGAACGGCCCAGATCCTGCTTTCTCGTTTATCGGATATGTTACACAACACAACAGGTCTAGGAATGCATCGATCGTCATGCCGAACAACAACAAAGCACAAAAGCATCCTTTTTTCATCTCAACAGAGAAAAAAAATGGGGTTCCTTCTCTCTTACTCAGCGAGCAAGTTATGGAAAAATACAATACACGGAATGCTTCAAAGCGGTGTACGAAGAACAGAAGGCTAGTTTATCACACCTCGTGAAAAAAATAAATGTAACTAGAAAAACGACCGAACAGGCGGACTCCAGTTTTTTTTTTTTGCGCACGAAAACGAAGAGCCGTGAGCATTACCCGTAATTAATGCGTGTTACACCGCATTTGCGAGAGAGCCTAGGATAAAGCATGTAAAACCTGCTCCTACACTCATTTGACTATCACACACGTGAAGCAGCTTTCCACGGTGATCGTTCAGAATGATTCCTGGCCACGAATTTCAAAGTTCAATTCTGAAGAATTTATAGACGAATAAAAAAAAACGGATAATCGTATCTTCCATTCGTTTCTGGAGCTCGCCAATGTACATAACGAATGTTCCGAGGAAGACGTCTTCAGAAATCAATTGAAGTGAAAACGAACGACAAATGAATCGCACGCAAGCACGTGAAGGGAAATTTTGCAGGAAATGCCAGCTCATTCGAAAGCTCTTCCATGTCGACAACCGAAGTACATGCGCAGAAACGAATTTATTCGTTTTCGGCGTTGCTTTTGAAAAGTACGTCACAAAAATAAGCATACAGTACAAAACTTCTACCAAACGAGGCGACAACCCAGAAAATTGGCAGCATTATTTTCCCCCCCAATATAAACTGGAATACAACAAATGGTTAACTCCGAAGAGGAATAAAGTGAAAAATGTCGGGAATTATCTGTGAAATGAGGCTATCTTCAAGACTTTAGTGTCGGGTAATGAAAAAAAAATTATTCACCAGACGACGGAAACCGCGGAAAGCATCACATTTACGATTACCTTCGTTCAAGGAATTTGACATTCTTGGACTGAGTATATTTTGACGGACGCGTTTCCAGCATCGGCTGTGGAGTGAAAAAAAAACAAACAAAAAAGTCAGGAAGTATGCTCAAGAAATGCAGTTTCAACGCATTGTAATTTTCAAAATGTAAAAAAGTTGTTTTACAGCTGAAAAAAAAAGACAGAACCTTACCTTTGTAGGGTCACAAACGGCTTTGTCGAGCTCCACACCACTCGCGTTCAAAGGCGGTGAGAACCGAAATCTCGTATTCGAACCAGAACCAGACGTCATCGCAACCCCGCTGTCTCTCGCAGAGAGGTAGCTACTGGAGTCGTCACTCGCGTCCGACGGCGTCAAATTCGAAGGCGTCTCGTCCGCGTACGGGACAAATTTGCGATGCCCTCGCGGCGGCAAATCGAGTTTGCTCGGACGTTCTCGAAGCCCCGGTGGACTGGATGGGGCAGGCGGCGGCGGCGAGTGGCTCTCCTCGAGACGATAAGGCGGCCCCACGGCAGGACTAGCTTGACCGCGACGACGCCGGCGGTTGTGGGCCGGCGGCAGTTGGTAGTCCGGGTACTGGCGGTCGTGGAAATGCAGGTCCGCGCTGGAGTAGTCGGGAAGCGGTGGAGGGTAGATTGCCGGATACAATCGCTTGGCGTGCTCCGTGTATCCTTCCGCAACGCCAGGATCCCTGCAGCAAAACATACTGATTAGTGTTGGATCATTTTAAACATTTACCAAAGCTTCAATATCTGATACTTAAAATTATTGTTGAGCTTCACAAATAGCATGCCGGCTTTTTTCCAGCGGACAACTGAAATCTCTTAGCATTCCGGTATTTTTAAAATCCAAATTTAATGTCGAAAGATCACTTCTCAATATCGCCCATAATCGATTTTATGTTCACGAAGACCCAAAGGATGATGCACGCCTAAAAGCCACACACTGAAAATATTCCTATTTTCAAAAAGTATTCGACACAAGCTTTCCCCTCTACGCCATTGGACTAACGTATGTCAACTGTAGTACCTAATATTAAAAAAAACCGTTATTAGGAGATGAATACTTTTCAGCGAGTGCGAAATGCTCAAATGCTTTTCGCGCGCGTGTGTGTGTGTGATGGATTTTGATTTTCGAATTATTTTCAGATTTGGTATTTTCTCATAATTCATACTTCACCATCGGGTTTCATTTCTAATGGTGCTGAAAATTAATTTTCAACTTCAAGTGCGAACAATGGAGCATTTGTCAACTGTCAAGAGAGTAAGAGACCCATACTGGAATAAGAAAAAACGTTTCATCATCTAATTTTTTTTCAGACACCAAAATTAGCAACCAGCGAATGCTGATGAAACTGGATTCTAATCAGCATCGTATGACTCCGTCGAAATTCGGGCGAACCCTACTTCAAGAAAATATTATTTTCGCTTGGAAAAAGGTGTCGAAAACCCGCTTGAAGAAGTTGATAATTAAATTAACTTCATAAATCGTCGAGAACAAAATCCCGACAAAATTTTTCATTATCAGAACGCCCGGAAACGGAAACCCTTCTTAATCGCGATTTTAAAAATCCCGCCATACAAGTTTTCTAAGTCATTCCAATTGACAGTTGAGTACTGTTCTCAGGTGGGTGCTTGAGAGCATGTTTTCCTCGTGGAAATGTTGGTTTTCTTTTACTCTTAATTTTTTTAACATCAAAAAAAGTCCCCAGTTTTTCACTCCCACAGAGATCTGTCGATTCGTCCGATCAAAGCGTAACAAGCTTTCCTGCTCATGACTCAAATAAAAAAATGCAAACACCCGTCCCTCAGCGGGAGGCAAGCAAAAGAAAATTAGCTGAAGTGGAACTTGTTTTCTTAATTCTCATGTTACTCGTGAGTTTCCCATGATTATTTACTTCGGCACGAGCTTTTTAGTTGACCGTTGAGAGGGACATTTGAGAAAGTGTCCTCAAAGTCGAAAGAAATGTGCCAGAAAATAACAGAAACATCTCTCGTAGATTTTACACATTTATTCAAAACTTCCGACTTCCACTCGTTACTAGTGAAGTTCCGACTTTAATTTAATAAAACCTTAAACGCTCGTTCGCTTTTCGCCAGAATGCAGTGAACTAAAAAAATTAAAAATAAAATAAAAAGAGACTCAAGCTGAAAAAATTCAAATAAAAAGGACCTTACCTAAAGTGCACTTGTCGATTAGGGAGCCTCGGTCGCGACTCCCCACCACTCGAGTTACTTCCGCTGCTGCCCATGTCAACACCTGCCACATACGGACTCGCAGTTGGAGGAAACTTATTTCCTTCGACACTAGACGTCGACGATTTCCGTCGCGCCGGACCGGCAGCAACAGGTTTCCTCTCCATTTGCACGTCGATGAACCTAAGAGGCGCGGGTTTCGCGGCATCCGGCGCAAGGACCGACAACGGTGTTCGATAATGCGGGGTGGGTCCGTGATAGGTGTTGTGCCCTTGGCCCGGACGCAACCCGTAAGCACTCCCAGAGCCGTAACTGTTCCCGAAGTACTCCAGATCTTCTCTGCCTGCACCATCCATTTGATCCGCATCCACGCTGAGAAAAAAGAGATTACACGTTTTTTCTAGTCTTGGCGTTTTATCTCTGAGAGCCCAACCTGATACAGAACTTGAGAAAGATTTAAATACACATCTGGATTAAAATCGTATCACATGTGAGTGAGCAACGACGGCAGATTTGAATTTGTGTTAATGAAAAATTTCATTCACTTGTCCGCGATTAAGAAAGTCAGGTAATCTACTAATCTACACCACAAAAAATGAATAAAAATCAGTCACAGCCGATTAGCACTCAAGTGAACACAGACGAAATTCAGAAATTAAACGAATTTTTATTGCTGTTCAACAGAATTTTACGCAGTCGTTTTTATTCGCTTAGCAGTTTAAATGTCACTTCATACGACAGAAATTTTTCGAAGATAAAAAAAATCAGAAGCAGCTGAAAATCTGATATTTTCCGGGATTATTTTTTCCTAATACGGTTCCAACAAGAAAGTATTCACGGAATTTTAAACTTGAAATTCACATCATCAGTCTTCACAGCACTCAAGTAAATACTATATGCGGAAAAAACAATAATTTTACAGAATACAGTACCGTACTTTCCGACAAATTATTACAGGGATAATCAATGTGCAAAATAAAATAGAAGACCAAGACGTCTTCCAAGGAGAAATAAAATTCAATCATACAAGGAATGCTTCAAAAAGTTCGCCAGCACCTTGGAATCAGGTCCATCTTATTTTTGCGCGAAGTGACAAACGAGAATCATCTGAATCATTACGTCATCATCATCAAGAGAAACTTGCACCAAGCGGCAGTTCCATTTCCTTATACATAACTGTAATTCACTGTAACTCCAGACGTTCCTGGCAATTCCGTGAATACTTCGCGCTCACCGAACGAAGTTTCATCATTAAAAAGAAAAAATTGCGGAGATTTCAACACTCTCCTAATTGGTACATCGGATTGGTCGTCAGATCTGGTATGAAGTCTCGAGGATGGTTTTCAGCAGTTCTAAATATGGCTCTTAAACCATACGCAGTTACAAAAACCAGAAAACGTTGAACCTCACGAACATATTCCCTTACAGCAATCAGCAATAGGGCGAACTTCCAACTCTACGTGTTCTCTACCTTTAAGCCTGGATGAACCAAAACTAGAATAGTTATCAAAAACGATCGAGAAGCACTCAGTTCAATTTTTTTTCTATCTATTAAAGCCACCCAGACTATACGAAGGGAAGTTCAAGATAAGACAAAACTTGGAACCAATCCTCGAGCTTCAGAAGGATACAGACATTTTCTGCAAAAGAAATTGTACGCAAATACATGATTGAAAATTCCATTTTCCATCCCAGATACCAAAAGTGCAAAAGTTAATCAACACGATCACGTGACACAACTTCGAAAAATGTATCTACGAAAATAAACGAACTATATACCTTCTAAAAAGGAAAAAAACACCCATGCACCGAGGTTTATAATTACATGCAGTCCGCCTACACCAGAATTCCGTTCCCATCTCCAGCTCATTCACTCCTCCGACGTGCTGCTCGTGGACGAGGAAATTGCTGAAAGCCTTCAGTTAAGTCATCCATACTGGCCAACTGCCGGTGCCTGCTACGCAAACGGAACGCTCAGCCAACCATTAACTCTAATCGAGCAAAAATTACCATCAAATCATCAAATACCTGTACAGCTATACACTTGCTAGAAAATTTTCAAATACCTCCAGGACATTCAAAAAAGTTCTACAGGGTGGAGTAGGAAACACGGATTTATAAACAGCTGCGTGATCACCAGAACGGCTAGAGCTCACACGTGTGGGAATAATTTAACTGAAAGCTGACAAAAATGTATCGTATTATGTTCCACGTGCGTTGATATAAAATACCAGGATACATTTTTAGATATTCAAACCAATCTATGAATTTACAGTATTTTCAATAAAGCGGTGATGGTGAAATCCATCCCTTTCAACAGCAGTTTCCATTCACTTTTCTTTTACCCCAGAATAGACGCAGGAAATGAGCGAATTATGTGAAGTCATCTCACTTTCACGCTATAAAAAAGGGAAAAATGGGTGCTCTTCACAAAATGGTAAAACTCTCCGAAACGTCATCCACGAAAAGCAAATCAAGGATATGTGTTTCCTGACTGGCTGATCACCCAGCATTCAAGCGCGAAGTTATAAGAACTCTCAAGAACCTCACAAACCTTTTAATTGAACACGTGGCAGCTTCCTCTTCAGTACTGTACAGTATTATGCGTACTCACTGGTTTTACCAACGCAAATGGAACAAATAAAGTTGGACCTCATCCGTAAGAAAAAAAAAGAGACAAAAACACTTTCATTTTCACGCTGTCAGCTCAAACCGTTCTAAAAGTACCAGTAACATCTTTTAAAAAGGGTCTAATTCGTGGAGTTTAAACGACAGGATGATACGAAATATAACTCATATAATACCGTACATTTATGAACTCGGGAGTTAACGAGATCTTATTGAAAATTTCGCATTTCTATTTTGCAACCCCGAACCAGCATGCCAAAAGAGAAGAAATGTGTTTTCAAGCATGCAAAAAATCGAGGAAAACCTTTCCAAAAGACCCCTTCAACGAGGGCAAACACGGAAAGGTCGACATACAGTACTGAGAATTCCAAAGAATTCCATAAAGTATGTTCGAGCAGGGAAATTGAGCATCAAAACTGAAGTTCAACGATTGAAACATGCAAAGCTAATGATCTAAACCTGAAGCGGATCGAAGTGAAAACTTACAGGTGCGACATTAGTCGTGGATGAATCGGAGTGACGTTGGAAATGGCGATGTCGTAGCCAGCAGCTACGGCAGCCAGCATAGATGCCACATTGCACACGAATCGCTCGACGACTCCCATTCGCGCGGGCCTGCGATTGGGAACGTACTCGCTCGACAACAAGCGGTCATCGGGAAACTCATTCATCCCAGGTTTGACGTTTCCATTGTAAAGCGTGGGGAGATACTGCATGGGTGGAAGCTGCGCTCCGTTCCAATCATCTTCTACACAATCTGCAAGATCATAATTTTCATGAGCAAACCGATCAAATTAATCCGAGATGTGAATACATGTACAGTACTGTGCGGAAAAAAAGGAGTTGAACGTATCTGCGGAGTGGCAAAACATTCCGGGTCAACTAATAATGTACGGCTTTTCAACTTATGCTGTTGAATGCACTACTTTCAAGGTGTGTCAACGAATCAGTTGGCCATGCGTCATCAATACAAGGCTTTTCATGGCTTCAGGGATCCAACCATCTTTACGTAATCGTTAATTTGACCCAAATTTGACGTGGATATTCCCTGCATATTCAACCCGAAATCTTTCAGTTTTCAATAAAGCGTTCACTGAATCGTTTTCTCGGCTTGGCTAAGGAGATTAACATACAGAAGTTCACCGTACATATTTCCATAACCATCCGCGTACCACCTGACAAGTTCAATTCAAAATCTTTGCGAAACATTTCCCGAACAACTGCTTTAAATCTGACGCAAGACGGTTACCTAGAAAGGAAAATATTCAGCGAAACCTGCGAGCATCATCTACTCTATCGGCATACTAGTTGAATGGAATGCTTTCAGTAGAATTCTGACTCAACATGCTTTTCTTTCAGCAATACTGGCGTGTTTCTCAAAAACTGAAGGATAAAACTTTTGAACTAAAACAGAAATATGACAGAAAAAAAGTCCAAGAACGTTGCGAAGTAAGTAATTGAGGATAATGGAGCTGACACATTATTTCAAAAATCGGAAGAAAGATGTCTTCAAAAATACATTGCACTACTGAGTAAGATAAAAAAGCACAGAATAAAAAGCTTCAAAGTAAAATCAGCGCCAACTTAGAATTAAACCGAACCTTCGAAAACGAAGAAAACTAAGTATTTAACGAGAAAGGATTGTTAAACTCACAAGTGAGTCTCCAATAATCCCTCGGATACACTGGGAGAGCAGAAGGCGACGCAATCATCATTACTCTTCAAAAGAAAATTTATCGGGCTTTGTCATGGCTCACCAAAATTTTGGGAAACGCCTATCACAGGTACACCGGCAGCAGGAGAATGCACGACGGGGGCATATTTCCGCAACGAAGGTTCCAGGTTTGGAGCAGACTTGCTGAACATTTTTTCTTCAGAATTTCCTGTTTTTGGCTTCACGAACAAATGTCCTCGTTCACGAGGCTGCATTGACGAAGGGCCCCACGTTTTGCCTTTAACTCCATCAGCAGGAACTAGGTGGAATACAGTATAATACACGGCAATATGAATAATGAAAAAATAAATACACGATACTGCGGTAAGTAGTAACGGGACTCATGCAGATCTCTACTGAAAAAGCAATGCTTCATAAAAATGTTCCTGAAAGAAGTAGAAATACAATACACGATAACCAAGTCTGCGCGAAGTGAAATGTATGGGACATGCGACGCATTTCCCCACTTCGTCACCTGGAGCCAAATTGTTGAAAAATGGGAAAATGTCTTCGGTATTTACAAGATTTTATCTTCACTGTAAGTCACTTCTAGTTCCATCTGCTCGTTTTTCCTCTCTGCATAAAAAAAATTTAAAGGGGAGAACAAGGGATGACAATTTTTCATGCGATTTTGGTGAGATTTCAATGTGAGTCTTCTGTTTTTCCTGTTAAAAACGCTTTTTCAGAACCTTTGTAACATATTGACCAGAAATGTTCTGAACCTGTGCAAGCACTTCACATAGAATTTTCGAACGCATACAAAAGATGACTTTCCCAACGCAAAGCAAAATTTTTGCAACGAAATCTTCAACGGATCCGGTTGAAAAATCTCGACGCAGGAATAAGCAGATAAATCATCAGGAAAAAAGTGATCACGTGCAGCAAGCTCCGCGTAGGAAAACAAAAAACTGTGAGTGAATTGAAGATATGACAAGATACAGCATGCGAAGAATAGGTCAAGGATAAAAAAAAATAATTGGTCCACTCAGACTCAACAATGCTTTCCATTCGAGAAAAAAAATTATACATACAGTATTAGCATTACAGACCCAATCAGACTTGCAAAAAAGCGGAGACGAAAATATTTGATTGGCGCACACAGCAAAAATAGTACTACGATCATAAAACAAATACATCATGAAATCATACACTGTGACCTAGACATACGTGTTCCGTGCCAAGAGCAAGTGATAAAACTACATTAACTTAAAAACAACACTAAATATGCGCATCTTCGTTACATCAGAGCCCGATACTTACAAGCTACAGCTCGCAAAGAAGGCAAAGCAGGAGAAGAAGGCGGGTTCTCTAATCCGTTGGCAGCTGCTTTCACCGTGAAATTGTGACGAAATTCTAGAATAATGTTGTCAGAATTTTCACCGTAATCACCTTCACCAGAAACGAAGAGCCACGCGACAAATAAACGTTTCCCATGTGAGACACTACATAAGACTAGTCCGAATCAAGAAAATTGAAGAGTGATTTTTCGAGACACAACGGAAGGTAGAAACTTGAAAATTGTCTAAAATAAAACTTACCAGAAGGCATGGATATTTTCTGCGGACCCTCTTTTTTCCACTTGAGCTTATTCTTCAGAAATTTTCCCTTTCGAGCCTTCGGCGTTGGCGTAGGCTTTGACTGCTCCAGCATTATGACCGACAATTCGCGTTCCAAAACAACCATCTCTCGCTCAGCCAGCTCTTGCTCCCGACGAGTAAGCCGTTCTTCTTGCTTGTGCAACTCAGCTTCAACTTGCAACCTCTTTTCCCATTGTTCTTTCATTTCTTGAACTCGACGTCTGCACTCTTCCGCAAGTTCTTGCTCTTTCCGATTTAAGCGTTCTTCGTGGGTTCTCAATTCCTAAAACGGAATCGCATAGAAAATTGTAAAACTGCAGATATTTTTTCTGCTTTCCGTGTTAATCAAGCTTGGCGTTGTTCTTGTTTAAAAATTGATTACTCACGAACTTTTCCTACTTGAGATACAATTAGGAGACTAAAAAGGAAGCGATACGTTGAACGCTGAGAACAGTGCTGAAAACTTTGAAAAAGCGGGGAAAACGGTGTAATCATTGTATCTCAACACAATTTCGAGACAATTTCCTTTTGATGACATTCATGAATTCAATTGGGGCACCAAGGTTTAAGACGTGAAAAATTCTACGACGTCGATGAAAAATTTGAAATGACCCTGTACTTTGTTCGCTTCGGAATTCTGGGAGAAGTACAGCCGATAAATAAGAGAGAGGAAGATCCAAATTCCAAACGCTCTCCAAATCGTCAAAACCTTCGCAGGAAATTCTTGAAGACAAATTATTCGAATTTTTTGATGTCACAAGGTTGTCGATAGGAAAAATATTAAAACGCTTCCACCAATTTTCTATCCCATTGCCAAAACGAAGTGGAAATATTTCGAGACATACAGTACCGCAATTTGATTTGTCATAAAATCGTATCACAACTTATGATTATCGTTCCCCTTGGGAGGTCGCAGTGGTATCCAACAAAGCGAAATCGATTCTTCAGGGATCTTCGAAATGGTCATGGAATGTTGGATTTTAATGGTTTTAAAACTCCTGGATTCGAGAATCCACAGAATTTTCTTCTTACTACTCTGGACGATTTCTCAAGTGCCATCGTATAATTTTCACAGCATTCCATCGAAATAGTAGAAAGCTACTACGACTCTAACAAACGCAAACCTCTTCTTTGTGTCGCAGGTCTGTCATCATATGCTGGACTTCCACTTTCCACCCATCTTGCATTGATTTAAAAGAATCACGAGGAGTTCGAACCCAGCTAGAGACCGCAATCAGTCTAAGATCCCGTAAAATGTTTTCGAACGACGGCCGTTTGTGAGTATCAGTATTCCAACAATCTGAAACGATAAACACGTCACAATTAACAGTATGAAAAAAATTCCCTTCCCGCTGACCACTAACCTTGCATCATCTTCTTCCATGGCTCCGGACATGTTTTAGGAATGGGAAGAGTAACTTTGTTCATCGCCACCTTATAGGCAACAGCAAGTGAATCAAATCCTTTGTACGGTATTTCACCGGTCAGCAATTCCCATAAGACAACGCCATAGCTGACAAAATGTGACGAAAGGAAGCATTTTTGTTTTTAATAATGACGAATATTTATCATTTAAATAATGAGAAAATATCATTCAATCAACAGGATAGTACCTCCAAACATCAGAAGCCATGGAATACGTGGAATATTTGATAACTTCGGGAGCCATCCAGGCATACGTGCCAGCAGTTGACATTCTGGTCGTCTTACTCCATTCACGCGCCTGACCGAAATCAGTTATTTTCAGGGTTTTCCGACGCAAATCATCACCATCAACAAGCATTTCGTATATCAAAACTGAAAGAGACCAGGTATTGGTAAAAATCTTCAAGGGAATAAAAATGTCTGCATTTATACCATTTGAGGACTTGAGATCACGATGAAGAATATTTTCTCCATGGAGGTAGCACATGCCCGAAGCAACCTGACATGCCCAGTCGACTAAAACGTCGGGGGCCAGCTTCCGACGCTGAAGAGACCGATTCAGAGTTGCGCCCCGGCAGAATTCCATCACAAGACTGAAGTTCGGATTTTGTAAGCAAGCCGCTTTAAGTGCAACTATGTTCTGATGTTTCAGTCTGGCGAACATTTTGGCTTCATTTTTCACTTGCTCCAAGACCTCAGCCAAATCATCTTCTGGATTGTAGCGAGCTAATTTCACAGCAACTTCTTCACCTCGCCAATACGCCCTATAAACTTTCCCGAAACCGCCTACTCCGATTTCTTCGGCAAGCTCAAGCTCCGAGAAGTCTATCTCCGTTATATTAGAGAGACCTGAATCTTTCTGGCCCTCGTCGACGACCTCTTCATCGTCGTCGTCTGGGTCAGACAAGGCATTCGAGGGCATGACGAAATTTGATGGAAACACTCCAACTTTGTCTCGCACTTTACCGGTCCACCAGCCCTCATCGCCGGATATCCTCGCGTCTTTCGAAAGAATTTCCACGACATCATTCTTTCGCAAAGTGAGTTCGTCGTCGTTCTGAGCGTCATAATCGTAACAGGCGATGCAAACGCTATCATCGATTTCCGCTTCATCTTCAGTGTCCGGGTACTTTGGTGGTTGCTGGTTATTTCTTCGTGCGCTCTTGACAGCTGCCATGAGGAAGAAGTATCACACAAGAAGGAATTCTCGCCAGACCAGAGCGAGAATCACATGACACTTCATTCCATTACAGACATCAGATACAGCTTCCTATAGAAATCAACACACATACAATCACTAAGATAAATAGCACTTTACCATCATATCAATAACGCTACGGCTGGATGAAAATCAACATTCGGAACATTATCCGCTAAATCATGTCTTACAAGAACATGCGGCCGAATGCTCGTCGAAAACAAATTCCCAAGCCATTTGTGTTCTAACATACCGTGACTCCCGCACGATAGAGAACTGCACAGTAAATCATGTACAGCATTGTACACTATCCACATCCGCCTTCACTCACTACAGTTAGGTGCAATAACCCGCCAGCAGTACAATTACTGCACTGTAGAAGAATTATACTGTACAGTCCTAAATATTGCATTCGATAAATATGCACAAAAAGTTACGTGGAATTAGGACAGCATACGCAGTACAGTACAGTATTTGAAACAAGAGGAGCTGTAACACCTCCCTGATCTTTTCAGTCACTTTACAGGTCTCGCGCATAAAGCTTTCCTTTAATTGCTTCAAGGCGAAACCTCGAGAAATCAAATAAAAGTTTCTTTCTAATTTCTGATACAGTGAACGACGCCCTTTTCCACTCGGCGACGTTCTTACTGGAATTTTTGATTGTATTCAATGTAAAAAAAACCATCAGCAGCAATTCAATGGATGAACAAAAAATGTGTCATGAGTAATTATTCGAAAGTCAGGCTCTCACGTAGAACCATGCAGCAAAACCAGGTTACGCCTGGTATTTTGTGCGGCAAAAGTGCTTCGAAATTCAACGAATTTAACAAAATGCATCTTCGAATAATGGACGCCGAGAAAAAGTGTTTATTCATCGACTTTGCTGTAGCACTGGACATAATCACATCATGCAATCATAAAAAATAAATCACGAACATCCCATTTCAACAGTCCGCAACTATGGGAAAATAATTCAGGATAACTTCAATGCCAAACGAATCACAACGCCTTCATGAGGTTGTAAGGTCACTGGTTTGCGCAAATCGACCGACGATCTGAAAAAGTCAGAGAAAAAAATCCCCATAAGTTCCCTTCAGCTTCAAGAAACACAATCAAACCTTCGGCGAACATCCGCGGAGCTGCGCAAAACAATAGTTCCTGCTTCAGTTACAATCGGTGGTCTTCTGAAAAATCCCTTCTCGTTCGAATCGCGAAAATTAATTTCCGCCGTCTGCTGCGACACGTTCGCAGCGATCAAATATGATCGATGACCCTTCAAATGCCTGGTCACAAACAGGGCAAGCTGAATTATTCCGACGAAATAAGTACCAAGCTGGATTCGACTTACCGCAAAAACCAGAAAATCTGTTTCGTAGCGTCAGGTAACAAAATGCCCCCAAATTTAAAGACGGATTGGGCGCGAAGTTTCACCAGCGCTGAGTACACGGAAAAATGACTGCTTTGGCTGGCAAGCTGAGCTTTCACATTCGATGTCCGATGGTCAGTTCCCAGCGGAAGCCAAGGAGCTTTGTTTGAGCAAAATCCTAGAGTCCATAATTATTCATTAAAAACTTTTCCGTGATTTTTCCTAGTTCGGGCTAAAACGAACTAATTAGCCGATTTAGATGACATTTTAATGTGTTGAGAATCCGAATCACTGCTGCGCTACTGAAGAGAACTGAATTCACCCTACAAAAACGCAGTGTTGAAATTTTTCTAAAAATCGCAGGAAAAACTCTAGCTTGATCCAAGATTAAATTCATCTTGTACACCGAATTGAACTTTAAAAAAAATTTACAGCTAACCCGCGTTCTTCGTATCATCCCACGGCATCGGCCCTCTCGCAACATCCCGCCCCATGGGATCCCTGGCTTGAGCATCATCAGCTTCAGGCCCATCAGCAAGACCAAGTTCTTCACCATAATAAGTGACCGGCGTTCCAGGCAACAAAATCACGATCATATTCATCGCATCTACAATTTTTTCATCAAATCGGGATCGTATTCGTCCATTGTCGTGATTTCCAACCTATTCCGTAATTTTGAGGCTGAAACGTGATCATCACAGTGACGGAGAACATGACTTACCACCCAATTATTCCATCCATGCGGAGGTACTCGACTGATCCATTTCAAAACAGAGTCCCTCATCAGAAAACCAGAGATGTTATCATTGTTTATGTCGGTAAGCAGGTTGAAGTTGAATGGAAAATGCGACAGTTGGTCGAATGAATCAATACCGAAGTACTTCGCAACCACATTCGGGTCGTCGTAAACTTCTGATACCATCACCCTGCAGATGACAGGTTGTCAAACTTACAAAAATGAGCCACATTATCATCCGGGACATTTCTAAGAGTTCTGCACAAACAGCTCAAGGTGTACGTGGTATGCAGGACTCGCGAGGGGCAATCCTAATTAACTACTGACCGTGGTACGCCATCCTTCTGAGAATGAACGTCCAAAAACTTGCGCCACTCCCTCAAGAGAGGAAAAGTTTCGGGCTGGTTCGTGGTATGGATGTGAAGTAAAGAATCGTAATTCCGATCCGCACCGGCAACGGTTCGCGATTCACGGAACCCGGGCCGACTGGGCTCATTCTTGCCGTCAAAATTCATATCCTCAAACCCGTGTTTGATGGCGTCTAAACGGAAGCCATGTACTCCTTCGTCCATCCAAAAGCGAAATATATCCTGGAACGCAAAATTATTTTTTAAACCGAGTCGCAGCGTTTTCAAATAAGTTCCGTCCAGATCTCTATTAGAACGAAATACTAAAAGCACAAAATGAGGATTTATTTCAAATCTTCGCATTCCCTCATCTTCCAAAGTTACTTCTCCAAAAAGGGAAAAGAAAATAAACACCAACATGAGAATAATGCATAATTAAACAACAAAAGCACATAAGTGTATATGAAAAGGTTCTTTGTGCAAAATGACAGCCCTTACAAAAATAAGCAGTTGACAAGCAGATCACGAATCGTCAATCCATCCTGGGTAACTCACCAATATTTCATTCCGCACAGCTGTGCTCCGAAGATTCAGATCCGGCTGTTCCGGAAAGAATTGATGGAGATAGAATTGTTTCCTCTGCTTATTGAATGTCCAGGCAGAGCCTCCAAAAACACTAAGCTACCAATGAACACAGGCACATTTATGTTCCGAGCTCTATTAACAAATGAAAACCATGATACGAACCCAATTATTCGGCGGCTGATCCTTCGTCCCACGCATCGGATCCGACCAAACATAATAATCCGAATACGGAGGTATGCGTTTCACGCTTTTTTGAAACCATTCATGTTGGTCGCTGGTGTGATTTACAACAAAATCCATCAACAATTTCATATCTAAAATAAAACACATTCGAAGCATTTCGGAAAGCACGAATGAAATCAGACTTCAAACCTTTGGATTTCATGTCTCCTACTAATGATTTGAAGTCTTCCAACGTTCCAAATACAGGGTCAACTTGCTTGAAGTTTGAAATGTCATACCCATTGTCCTTCATTGGAGATTGATAAATCGGCGAAAGCCATACCGTTTTAATGCCAAGGCGTTGTAAATATCCCAACCTTTTCTGTATGCCTACATAGCCAAAAAATAATAATTCGATATACAGTATGATGCAGCATACTGGAACTCAACAGAATGGGGAAGTACGGAAATCCCTATATTTCTACAGTCTATTTCATGTTAAGTACGCACTACAGAAAAAAGCACTGCAACAGAATTACTTAGTGCGCTCAAATTGAATCGTTTACCACAACCACGTATTTTCCAAAAAAGGTGGTTAAAGAATAGAAAATCATTCGCAAATACAATTCTATATCTTCTAATAACTATGGACGGCGTCTCGCACTGAGGGGCGTAACAAATGTGTAACCGCTAAAAAAGTTCCTTCTCGCCACATGCACGTACAGCAGCTAATCATAAAGCATCGAAGCTGGCTCATACCTTTCAAATCCCCAATACCGTCGCCGTTCGAATCTTGAAATGACTTCGGGTATATCTGATAGATCGGACTCGGTCCTTGCCACCATTCCAATCTTGATACCGTCGGTAATTTTAAACCCAGCATCAACAAAATAAATACAGACGTAAAAGAGACTATCCAGAATGACCAAAAAATTGTCGAAAAAACACTCTCAAGCACGTGAATCATGGGAGATCTGCTGTTAACCTGGGAAACAAACTATCAGTATGCATACAATTGCCACAAGGATTTTCTCGTCAGCCATGCCAAGTTCCAAAAAATACTCTTGCGTCACATAAAAATGACACCTCATTCAAGCAGAAGTGAAAACGCTGGATGCACGTTATTTTTTTTTTTATTAACCGGATTGACAGACATAAAAAATTTAGAAGCAACATCGACTTCACGTTCTAAACTGGCCCTAACACATATCAGTTCAAATAATTTTGCATTGACTTTTTGCGAGAGTAAATAAAAATGGAAACATCCCATGACTGCATCGGCAGGCGTTTAGAAACTTGGTCGATTAAGCCTCGAGAAATGTTCTCAAGAATTTCAACCCAAGTTTAAGAATACATTATATCATGGGAAGCATTTTTTTTATTCTAGTCCCTTCTCTAAAAAAATACGTGAAGTTAGGATTCAAGGAAATCATTTCTGACTCGATCAACTCATACGCTTTTAATGAACTGAACTTTTAATATATCATAAAGAAATAAAGAACACATTTTCAAGTGACTCGCAAGACTCGAGAAACCCAATGCAGACTGAAATGATCATCAGGACAAAATTGAAACATTTACTTCATGTGTCGATGCTTCTGTTATTACCCGCAAAATTCAAGAACAGGCTTTCTTCAACGCTTCATCAATGTCTTTCAATAAATCATTCACGTCTTCCAATCCGACAGAAAATCTGATGAAACTATCTGAAATGCCAAGCTCGCGTCTCATGTCTTCAGGTACGGACAAATGTGTCATGAGACTCGGCGACTCAACCAAGCTTTCAAAACCTCCCAAACTTTCGGCAAGAGTGAATAATTTTAAGCTTTGAAGGAATTTTTCGGCCTCTAATTTCCCTCCCTTCAGATAAGCACCAATCATTCCACTATTCCCCAACATCTGTTTCTTGGCAAGTTCGTGTTGCGGATGCGAAGGCAATCCGGGGTACAACACTTTTTCTATCAGCGGATGTTTCGACAAGAATTCGGCAACAATCGTGGCACTTTTTTCGTGTTCTTTCATGCGGAGTGCAAGTGTTCGGACACTCCGGCACACCAAATAACAATCAAACGGACTCGGAACAATGCCGATGGCATTCTGCAGAAATCTGAGCTTTTCATGCATTTGATCGTTATTCGTCATGGCAGCTCCCATGACAACGTCGCTGTGCCCGTTGATGTACTTCGTCAAGGAGTGGACTACCAGATCAGCTCCAAGAAGCAAAGGCTTCTGGAAGTACGGAGATGCGAATGTATTGTCCACGCACACGATCATTTCCGGATTCTTCTCGTGAGCTATCTTCGCGATAGCTTCGATATCGACCAACTTGAGGGTGGGATTAGTCGGAGTTTCAATCCAAACCATCTTGGTGCTCGGTTTCAGTGCTGCGATGAACGCAGATTTGTCATCTGCGGACATATCGACGAAAGTCACACCGACACCGTAACTTGGAGACAAGACTTTCTGGAAATATCGATTCGTCCCGCCATAAAGATCATCCATCGCCACAATATGGTCGCCAGATTCCAACAGATGGCAAATAGCTGTGTTCGCTCCGAGTCCAGATGAGAATACTAGCGCATGCTTCGCCTTGAAAAAAAAATTACATAAAATTATTAACACGGATATTAAACTAGAAATGCCTAAAAATTCCAGGATTTATGTTTTGCCAACTCTGGGTGAAGACTTTCTCGCAAACCGGCACAGGAAGAAAATCATTTTCGAAACGGTATTCACTCAAGTCAGTTACCACTTCGACAATTATTGATAACCACGATTACATTTTTCCGAACAAATCTTCATAATACACTAAGCTTGATGTAAGCATTGTAATGGGTAATTTCAAGATGTTGAATGAAGTAAATTCAATGCTGTCTCTTCTGTAGTAATAATTCAGTGAAAGAAAAACTATGCAATACAGTACCTGCTCCAGACTCGCTAGGCACGTCTCAAGACAGTTCCTCGTCGGGTTTCCACTCCTCGCGTATTCAAATCCGCTATGAACTCCAGGAGCACTCTGCTTGAACGTCGTGGACAATGAGATCAACGGAACAACCGCTCTGCATTTCCACTGGTCCGGATCGTTTCCATCATGAATAGCTTTAGTAGAGAAACTAGCATCCTGGGTGTACTTCGCCATATTGCACGCGAGTCAAAGGTAAAGATTCAACAAGCGCCTATATTCAAAATGACAATCGTTCCGAAGACTTGAATATTAACAGAAATTCAAGAACGAGGCACAGCAGAGACTGGACTGTGAGTGGGATCCGGGTCTCCATTTAAGAGGCCGAGGAACGAGCCTCCAAGAAAAATAATCACTCCATTCATCAACCCATCGTTTCAAAATTATCTGATGGGACAGAGGGCATCATGGATATCAATCACCCCTTCTACGGGGAATTTTTTTTAGGTAGATCCTCCAATTTAAGTGAATAAACAAGTGAACTGAGGAGCGCCAGTAACCAACGACACACAGCGATTATCTCGATCTTGGTCTGCCGAGGTTTCCCCGACACCTGCACCTTGGGTTGAACCGACATGTATACAATTTCTCTCGATCATTAGTTGACTGCAACAAACAATTCAGAAGTGAAATCCGAACAATGAGTTGAAATGATTGAATAAGGCAAATATATCTGAATAAATACGCTTTTCATTACCTTCCAAAGTTTGGTTTTTCAACTTTAAATTCAACCAATGATGCCGAGCCACCGAGGAATGTCAGGCTGACGACAAGGCAAGCGGAAAAACAAGACCAACTTCCACGCACAGAAGAAAAATGAGATGAAAATGAGGCGCTCACGAATGATCGCCTCACAACAACGGACAGCGGCAAGGTCGCCGTGACAGTTCACATAAGCCGCTCGGATAGTTGGAACGTCGGATTTGCAATACCATGTAAATACATGCACGGGCTTTAACCGCGAGTGTATTTTCCCCAAATGTGCAGCATGAAAACAGACGCGATGAACAGCAGACTCATAACCAAAACGGGGACTGGTCCAACTTTGATTCCAGGTGAGTCGTCGGTGTAGAAACGCCACATACCTCCGCTTCCAGCACCGCCCGGAGCACGGGCTCTGGTTGTTGTGGAAGAAACATTTTTCCTTGCCTTCACTGTTGAACTGGCTCCTGCTCTTGGTGCGGAAGACTTGGGTGACCGACCACCCGCACCAACATTTGTCGCACTAGGAGATGCAGGCATTTTTCTCGAAGCAAAATAAATTTCTCCTAGCGGGCGGAAAACAAAAACCGATGCAAATCAGAATTCAATTCCTATCCATGAAGGATCAAACACGAGGTAAAATTCAAAAACAAAAAAAGAGGAAATCAAGAAATATTTCCACTAAATTCGCACTTTTCCTTGAAGAGACGGATCGCGCAAATCTCGGGGAAACGTGGATAAGAACTATCGTAAGCCATTTCATGGTCCGCACTGTCAACAGATATACATAATCTAATTCTTTCGAAATTCCTCACGAACACGTAGTCTCCACATACTTCGATCAAGGAAATTCGCCGCTCGTCTGACGCAAGCCATCGAACTAATAGATGAGCGACACGAAGATCCAGAGTAACTCTCGCTTCCGTCCAGCCAGGGCAATCGCCATGGTGGTAAGTTTCCAACTAGACCAGCCAACTGGTGCGGTGCGGGCAACCTGTATAATCAAAGAGCCACTGAGAGCTGGAGAAGGGTAATCCAGTACAATTTGGTGTTGAAATGCGTAGGCACCTACAGCTTAGGAAAAAAACGATCATAAGAGCTGGAGCAACAGCTGTACATACATCAGCAGCGAAGTGCTGTACTGTACTGTGTTTTATAGTCAAGTGTTCATATTGTCAAATAATAACAGAGGCACCCTCCAAAACTGGTTGTCAGCTTAAATAATCACAATTGCATTATCAATCACAAGAAAAATTAGCACAATTGAAAGAAGCTCAGTATACTCGAGGTGGATGCATGTCCATATATTGAGACGCTGAATTTATTTCATGTATTTTTATATTATATCTACTGTACAGCTGTATAATACTAGATGATTACGTAAATATAATAAGTGCAATATGGTATTAGAAATGTACCACAAGATGGGGCTATATAATATGGCGATTTCTGCTTTACAGCATTGTTGAGTCTTATTTATAGACGTCATGTATTTTACGGCACAGATGCATATTTTAACAATCTTTTTTCATCCATGCACAACCATTTCCTTCAAGAAAAACTGTGTATACTGATGATGAAGCAAGTATATGAGAGGAAATGCTGCGCAGGGAAACCAAACACCATCATCAATAACATTCTTGAATGAGGAGAAAACTGATACCTCAAAGCTTCCCATGAATTTATACGAATTGGGCTGTTTTCAAGAGTGCTTAAACTTTTAAAACTGAACCCTTGTCTTATACAGTACTTCAACCACATTGTCTAAAGTAGGCAACACCCATTGCATGCTCTATAGATGACTGCTCAGCACGAGTTGCATGCTCGTGGTGAGCAAGAAATTCTTATTCAATGTAATGTATACATCCAAATTGCTTGAAATAATGTCCGAACTTTATCCAAACTGTGTCCATTGCCCTCCTAAATATTTAAAAAAAATTATCGAAACATTTCTAGAGATATCCTGCAAACACATTTTCTGCTGATCACATTTTTTTTGGATGCGTTGTCCGAACTTGTGCTTTATGCAGAAAAATCATGCAGATTGACATGTATGGGCATTTTGGGGGAGGGAGGGGGGGGGGAAGAATTCAAATATTTCGGGACATATTTGGAAAAATTATGTCAACGAAGCACATTTCCACACGCAGCATACGGTTTGCATTGCCTCGAAATACTGTACCTGATTTTACTACACTATACTACACTTTCCAAGTCGCTGGGAATGAAAAAAATAGTTGGGCAAGTCCAAAAACGCATACAGGAATTAAAGAGAAGTGAATCGAATACAGCACTTTTTCATTACTCTATACTAGCTTTAACATATCAAGAAACGCATCGGCATGAAATCATAACCTTTGGAAGTATCCACGCACATGCTCCGCAAGAAAAGCAATATCATCAAAACAATCTCAACGCGCCAGCTCATCAGAATTAACACGCCATATATACTGTACAGTATATACTTGATATGCACGGAACACAGATCGTCCTTGCGCGAGCATGCAATTGGCGCAGGATATGCTGCGATCGTATTTCTTCCGACGCGTAAGCCATAAAGGAGATCTCGGCATGGTTGACGTCGTTAGTAAGGGTTTGCAGCCCGAGAGTGCATATACGGTATAAATACTGTACATACACATCAGATTTTATCATGTTTACCTTCTATTAATTCAGGGTCAGCCAGCAATCCCAAACTTTGAATCTCGTATACAATGTTAAGCGCGAATAATAAGCAAGACAGCAGTTTCGAAACAAAGGCAATCCATGTTGCCAACGATCCGGAACAATGGAAGAGCAAGGCTGTTGTGCCGCTAATATCGCTAGCCACAGTATTCAAGCATACTGCTCCTGGCCATCACGCAGGGTTCGAATACAGCCGAGGCGGTAATCCGACAAGACAGTGCATGGAAAGCACTCTCGCCAGTCTAGAACAAGTAAGATTTATGAAATATCGACAATTAAAATTGAGGATACTGCGGCACAAAAGAAATCCCGCGAGTTTCATGCAGCACGTGAAGTTCGTTACATAGATAATCTATGAATTACCATTGTTATATTACTTCAGCCGCTCCGTTTCCTCAATATTGATAAGTGGTAATAATGCACTTGAAAATTCACGGAAAATTTGGGCAATATTTCTGGTCATTCTTGAATGTTTGGACCTTTGTCGAAAGGATTCAAGTATAGTATAATACAGTGTATTATAGTCTTCGGGATATTTGATGATTCACACGCGCAGATGCAATGGTCTAAGACAGTGTGCTCCCCAACCCGCGGACCAGAGCCGGTCCGCAGAAGTTTTTTGCCGGTCCGCGGGAAATTTTCTTCATCTGAAATTTCAGCAATACGATGGCAGTTAAAATTATCTCATGAAAATTAAATTTTGGATTTCCTCCTTAATGACACTATTTGGACATATTTTCACCTCATAAAACAAATTATTTAAATGATTCATTATGTTAACCTGCTTACATTCTTCAAGCCCACTTTTCTAATTTTTCGAAGACATTTCACTATAGCTGCTTCATTGGCTCTTGAATGCAGGGAAGCAGAAAATTTTATAACATACCTGCCATAAAGTCTTTCAGACAAAACATTTTTGAGTCTGCAAAAATTCTATAAAACTTTCCTGGTCTGCAGAAAATTTTGTGAATATTTACTGGTCCGCAAAAAATTTCATGGAAATTTGCCAGACAGTAAGGTAACATACTGTTATAACATCAGGAAGTTTGGGGAACACTGGTCTAAGATATAAAATCCATTCCACTGATTTTCTCGGCTTATTTGGAATTGCTTCAGCACAACCTTCAGACAGCCTTGAAATTACCGATACATTTTCTGTGATTCTAATTTTAGCAAGGCTCTTCCTGCACTGACATCCCCACGATTGTCAGTAACAAATCCATTCCATGAATAATTGCCATGAATCGAGGCGTCAATTCAAAAGCAAGATCAGGTCACAGAAAATTTTTATTTAATTAGGATAATATTGCATTGATGAATCCCGCAATTGTGATAGCTGTATCGCGATAAGGTTATGCGGAAATAACTCAAAATCTACAACTAGGACAAATTTGGAAAATCTCGGCCGATTTCAGCGAAAAAACTGACTTTCCCAGAAAATATGTCCGCTTAATTTGTCCTAGAATCCATCACGCCTGGGCTTTTGTTGTCAAAAATTTCGTAATACGTTTCACCGTGAGCAATGCGATGATCCAAAGAAGTGGATTCCAAGGAATAACTTGAAAGATTACTTAAAGGGTAGAAATAATCTCGTCAATCTTACCACTATACAGGGGAAATACGGAATCGCCTTTGCTTCGGGCATAGGAGCAGTTTTATCCGTTTGTCAGCTTATGAACACAGGCGATCATCTCGTGACACAAAAGGACCTGTACTTCGGTTCAATACATCTTTTCCAAGAACATCTCCCGACGAAATGCGGCATCGAGGTGACATTCCTGGACCTCACAAACGAGGACAGAACAGAATTGAAGGCATCTCTTCGCCCGAAAACGAAAATGATCTGGATCGAGACTCCGACTAACCCCATCCTCAAGATCATTGATATCAAAACAGTCGCCGAAATCGCTCACGAACACAACCCCGACATCATCGTCGTCGTGGACAACACTTTCGCGTCCCCTTACTTCCAGAACCCTCTTCAACTCGGAGCCGATGTCGTCGTTCACTCCTTGTCGAAATACGTGAGCGGACACAGTGACGTCATCATGGGCGCCGCCATAACAAACAGTGACAAACTCCACAAAGAAATTCGTGAATTGCAGAATGACAACGGCGTTGTTCCGAGTCCCTTTGACTGCTATTTAGTGTCCAGGAGTCTACGAACCTTAGCTTTGCGCATGGCGAAACACGAATCTAATGCATTAGCAGTAGCAAAACACTTGCTGAATCACCCGCTTGTCTCATGGGTCTCCTACCCAGGGCTGCCAAATCATCCACAACACGACCTCGCGTCCCGTCAAATGTACGGTTTCAGTGGAATTGTAGCAGCGAAACTCAAGCACGGATCGGATGAAAAAGTTCTCGAAACGTTTCTTAAAAACTTCAAGATTTTCACGCATGCAACCAGCCTTGGAGGCGTGGAGTCCCTCGTTTCTAGTCCAGGTCTGATGATAAAATTTTCAAGTGTTCCGGAGAAAGAAGAGAGACTGAGACTGGGCATCGATGACGAAGTAATCCGATTTTCAGTAGGCATTGAAAGCGTGGACGATTTAATCCAAGACATCGACGCGGCTTTACAAGCAACACTGGAAGTTTTGGAGCAATGAATCTATTGAAAAGTTCTGCGCTTATAGCGTCTTATAAGCGTTCTGATGCAAAAATATCAATACGGAATACAATTTGATACGCTGAAAAAAAGCACCTGAGCAAATGCTGTAACTTCGTATTGAACTAAACAAAGCAAATGCAATAACGCACAGTCAGTGGCGTAATTGTTGGCTCATGATCATCTTTAGTATACGTGGCAGAATAAATGAAGTGTATGACTGACCTTGATGCTGTATCATACATTATTCTTACACTGCAATTACTGTACTGTACAGCAGTATAAGGAAAGCGGGCCAGCTTTTTTTTGTGCAATGTACAATATTCATCTTTGAGCATTGATGGATTTGGGTATGACTCGTGTGATTAAACATGTGTTCAAGTTCAACAGTCATAATGTCTACTAATTATTTTTATGAAGTTTGCTTTGTTCAGCATGAACCAGTGATATCCAAAAGCAGTTTCTGGAAAGGTTGGTCAGCATTATATGCATACAAAGGTTGTCCTGATTCTGCGCAGGTATAAATACAGTATTTGTTTGACTCAATTGAAAATGTGAACAAAATCTAGTAATTTTTCATATATGATGTTGGAGGTTATTGGAATTTTTTTTCTTTTTAAGAAATGTTTTCAAGACACCACACGATGAGAAATGAAAGCTTTCTGGATACAGCCAGACTTTTCCACTCATTTCAGTGTGCTAAATATTTGACAAAAAGTTTTAAAATTGAAATCTTTTGTGTTTACTTAGAATATTACAGTATCGTTCCTATACATCTTGTGATTTTTTTTAGAATATTGGAACTATAAGTTCTCTCTTGTAGAGCTAATCAAATATAAAAACTTTTTCAGAGGTTACGATGGGATAAGCAAATTTCCCTGATTGCCTCAGCACAATCATTTGCCGAGAAGGACCGTGGAAAATGTTTGTGAACGTAGAATTATTTTTTCTATTAGTAGTTAACAGTTTCATTCGCATCTTAGTTCAGAAGCAGTGTCTGAATTGCGAATCTTCAAATTCCGTGTCAGTGACAAGTTTCTCTAGGCGCAGAATATCTGCATCCGATAAATTGCACCTAAAGTCGAAGGCAGCGATATTTTTCGAATTTCTGAATCCACTGATTATGTACTCAACACCGCTGGCCATCAAGATTTGACTCTCGAGAAACAAATATTGCAACTCTTTGAAAGCCTTACAAGTTGAATGACTAAACAGTTCTCTCGCCTGACGATCCGACAGCTTCAATCTCAACGAAATATCCCTCAAAGTTTTCCTCGAACTCAGAGCTAAATTTTGTATCGCCTCAACGGGTATCAAATGACTGGTCAACTGCTGATTGGAAAGCTCCAGTTTTTTCAGATTTCTCAACGCGACACCAACACCACCATCATCTTCTGTCTGCTGCTGCTTGTGGAGAAGATCGAAATCTTCCAAGGAAAATTCTTCCAAATTTGGGCACAATTTTCCCAAAGATTGAACGTCAATTTTGGAAACATTTTGCAACCGCAATGCCTTGAGGTTGACACCGATCACACCTTCGTTCGCCACATCCAGCCATTCCGTTGTTTTCACAAACCCCAGAGTCAGTCTGCTCAAATTGCTGAAATTTTGCAGCCATTTCAAGCGGAGCTTACCGGATTCTGTTGAGTAGATTTAAGAAACAAAAATTTCAAGAAACCCAGCACTTTGAAGACTCGCGATTAAAACTGAATAAACAGTAGGTTACAATTGAGCGTATCATACCCCGATTTTTTAATAGAATATTAATCCAACATTCTGTGATGATCTTACACAAAATTGTATCTTATGTGCGAATATTAGTTCTTGAAAATGTTTCGGAGATTTTTCTTCAAAAAAGAACCCTTTGCAAGTTTGAGAGGCACGACGAGCTCACGAGCACATCAAAATAGTTCCAAAATTATCGTAGGAAATTGTTGTACAATAATTCAATTTAGCTTAACATCAAAAACTAACCGTCGCCGGGCATAAAAGACAGTCACATGCAAATTTTTTTATTTTTCGCAATTCTTGCCTAGTTTTGCTAGATTTTAGCTACGTAAAGTTCCAACGTTTTCAAAATAAATTATGGATAAGACAAGACTCGACAAGTTTCCTTGAGATGCTCAATAAATGACTGCCATCGCAGAATACTGTTGGATAATCAACGAAATCTTTTAAATAACCAACATTGCATTGAATAAACTATTTGTACATTTGGGGACTGCAAAAAGCAAAAATGTTCAACTTGGTAAAGATAATGCATGTATATATATCAAGCATTATTCATCCTTTAATTAAAACATTGGTGATTTTGACAGCACTGTGCAGATGGCCGGCATTGCAGCATTGACTTAGTCTTTCATTTCTCGTCATGAAAGGTCCTGATCAACTTGAAAACGTATTACATACTTCAAGGAATTATCCTCCATGTAATCCAATCAATAACTTGATGGGGCCCCAAAGCTCATAAATCGAACAATTACGGAAATTTTCATTATCTTTCCCCTTCCTGCCTTTCAACAGCTTTTTCACCAGCCGCACTACATCAGTTCGTCACTATTATAGAAGTAACAGTTTCCCCAGCATAAAATAATCTCATCCAGATTTTTGTTATGAACATGGTTTCATTGATGAGGAATTCTTGTCTATTCAAAGACAGGAACACAATTTCAATAACTGCAACACTACTATCTACGGAAAATGCACAAAAAGGAATTTTTGTAAATCCATCAGGGAAATTTTAGGTACGGTTTGACCTCGTGAACCTATACCCAAGTCAAATGTTTGCCTTGCCCTCTGTCTGAATTCCATTACGAAAAATGTAATAATGTACGGAGTATCGACTCCCAAACTGGAAGATTTCCCCTCAAACATTTATTCACCTAGAATTTTCAGAGGCCTTTCTGGGCTATTATTCTGGGGATTCAGAGGAAGGAGAAAAGAGAAAAAATGAAACTTGACGCTTTTGAAAACTGAGTGACTAACTGCTGCTGGTCACAGTGTGTACCCTTGTCTCCAAGTTCAGAATTGGGTCAATTCATTTATGAAGTAGTTCAAGGATCAGAATACTGTATCACGAATTCTATCTTCCTGTTTGCATGCAGAGAAAAAATGCTGGTTCCCCTAAAAAAAAAAAAAAAAACTATCTAGGTTAATTAATTTTCGTGGATCCCTCATCTGAGTTTGACTTGAAGGTTTGACGTACATAGGAGCATTGTGTGTCCAAATAGTGTTTCTGCTGCTGGGACCTCCAAAAATTGTGAAGCTAGCATTCAATAGTTCCTCACAACGGAATTTTCCGTTTGAATTTATTATAAAAAAAAAATATATATATATATATACTTTACTTGAAGGCTTTGCACAAACTGAGAGCTCCTCCAAGCACGGGAAAACCACGGCAAGTTTACTCGCAAGTCTGGCGGCCTGTGAATCCAGCACGACACTCCTCAGGCTTTCCACAATGACATTCCTGTCCGACAACCATTGCTCCAAAACGGATCCATTGGCCCCTAAAACGACCCCAAGCGACTGAATACACCCATCTCCAGCTGCATTGTTAGCTAAATAGCTGTACAGTCCTTCAGAGTCGTCGGCCCCGCGGAAATCCAAGATCTTGAGCCGCGAGCAAACCTCGAGAGACTCGTAAACCCCGTCGCCGATCCCCAATGCTTTCACTCCTTCGTCCAAGTCCTGGAAATGGAATTCCTCCAGGGTCTGAGAACAGTTCTCCGCTATAGACTTCGTAATGAGTCCGATGGGCAAGTCGAAACCCAGTATATCCACGACCCGCAGCCGACTCATCCGTTGCAAGGAAGACACGAAATTGTCCTGGATAAACTCGATGCTTTCGTGCGGCAACCACGTTATGTGAAACCGGAAATCCTCCAACAATCGCATAACGGGCAAACAACCAGTCACTATCGCGATCGTTCGCATCAAGTCCACCATGCCGGCTTCGTAGTGAAGCACCTTGGCCCGCTTTTGCACCACGAATGCGCCAAGATGGCTACCCTTGTAGCCCGAACGCCTGAGCTCTGTGATGAGGTTGTGAAAGAATTCCGAGTAGGCCTTGTCGTTCAGGTGTTCCAAGTGACTTCGCAAGGCATTCACTTGTTGTCTGGGAAGTTCTTTGTAGGCAGTGGATTCTTCTTCGAATCGCTTGATGCATTTGGCAGCCGCCTGGTAGATGCATCGCAGGGCAAGGAGTTTCAGGGTTCCTGGTCGTTTTCTCAACAGTCCCATCCTGCAGCAGTCTAAAATAATATTAAGAAACATGAAAATTACAAGCCTGCGAACGCATCATTATGGTACTTTTGTGAGATTTAAAAAAATTGCTTGGCTTCGTGCAGGTACGATAATGCATCAGTTAGGCACAACATCCTGCATGTGGCAATGATTCACACTTGTATGACCATTGTAATGTATAGTTGAAATTACTGAATTTTGTACGTTCTCAACACAAAAAAGCATGGATGATATGAACAGATCAATTTTGATGAAAATCTATTCCAATCTCATCATTAAATTTATTCATTATTAATAATTAAATGTATTCAAACCTTATTATTAAAGGAACTGTGCATTCCATTTTCAATTGCTGCCTTACAGAATGCCCTTGATAACGGGCATTTATGAATTTCATTTCCACTGAAATACAGAAGAAAGAAACAGGAGTGACAATCCTTATTCTGAAATACAGTAAAGCTATCTACCCATCTAACTTTCTGTTTCCCTTGAATAGAAATGGTGATTCACAAAAAAAGAGAAATACCTCAGGTCTTGAACACAACTTTTCCATAAGTTAGAATGTTATACCATAAATTAAAAATTACAACTGATCACTGCAAGAGGGACACAGGCCTTACTATAGCTGACACTGTATATACGGATGACACACCTCATTGACCATGTTTATCCATGAAACTTTCTGCGTAATTTGATCAAACGAACACAGAAAAGAATGAAGCCGTAGATTTCAAGAAAAATTTAATCCACAAGGCTTTCAATCACAAAAAACCAAGAAGCATACGCGCTGGAGCTATAAAACGAATCACGCGTACAATATTTTGATATACTGAATGTAAAGGTCATGTTTTATTTAATGCCCTCGGGAACAGCTTTTATTTTTTGTGCAAAACTTTGGTGACAACAAGCTCAGCTGACTCATTCAGTTTACAATTCGACTACAGTTCAATATGAACCGAAAAAAACAGATATCTGCTTTCCGAATTGAAATTGACAAAATAATCATTGATCTGAGACCAAGAATACCAAATTGATCAAATTTATGTTGAAATTCTGACAATATCCTAAGCCACTTCGTCATAGCCATGCAAATGGAAAGAGCAGAGAATACCAAATTTTCAGTTAGAGAAAAAAAGCCAACCTGTACGAAA